TCGGATGGTCCAGCAAAGCGGGTGGCGATATCCGCGACGAGCCCAGGTTGATTGCGACCTTTTGTGAGTGGTCCGGCCCGGTCGAATGATTGGAGATTGGGAAGAGAAAAGGGGGGCGGCACTTCGTTGCTTCCATCGAGTGTTTCAGATTTCATTTCGCGGCTTCGCCTGACTTCCGCTCCCCTCCGTCACACTAAATTAGACTATCACTTCCTTCTCCTCTCTCTCCCTCTCCCTATGATTTGTGGCTTCAATCGGTTCGGTGTTCTCGCCACGTACAACGCTGACAAACCGATGGTCGACGGTCCGGGCAATGATTAGTTGTTCACCTGGTTTCGTACATACGGCTTACGAGGCAAGCAGACCTGTCTGTGCATTGGTCGTAACTCACTACGAAGTGCTTACAAGTGCTATGGTGCGATGACCGTTTTCGACAGCCGACGCCACATATGCAATTGAAAGGCTCTCCCGAAATGTGGCGGCGGGTGTGGTTCGGTACGGAGCTCTGATCGGATTAGTCGTGCATCGCTCAAGGTGTATCTAGTTCAACCTCTGTTGCTGTTTAAGGTGCGATGATCATCTGTGCGAACCGGCTCGCGACGCGACTAGTTTGAGACTCCCGTACTCTGGAGTGGTGAGTGCGTTGCTTGTCTGGGACAGTTCCACTGACGGGAAAAGAACGATCGTCGCATGGTGTTTTGAACGCCTGGAGATGTTGGATCATCATCTTCTATCGCGTCTGTTAGACGACTTCGCCACTTCGACTGCTACGCAGTACACTGCGCTGCCCGAGTGTGCAATTCCCATTGGTTTGGATCACCGTCTATGGCAACTCCGTTGGACTAAGACCAAGGGTCAGGTTGTCCTGTGATCCAGGATGATTCGGACACTACAATTGCGGCGATTGAACGTACTCAGTCTCGTCGGTAGGCGACCACTCTTCCGCATGACTTGTTTTCTGTTTTGCATCTTGGTGGCCTCCCCGCATTCGTCGCAGTGCAGTGGTCGTTGGCTCGCGCATGAGATATTGTGGGACAATCAGTGCAATACACAAGCTGGTGTTTGATCACAGGCTCGGCCATATTCGGTTGCGAGCATCTTCCGATCGGCTTTATGGGTGTCTGATTGGTTGTCGCTTATGCTTTATGATCCCATATTGTAACACGAAGCTGGGAGAGCTTGTGCCTGCAGTCAATCTGCGGATGATGGAATAAGCTCTCTAGCTTTGCCCCTGTGGTCCATTCGGAACCCGCGGTTATTCCTTGTTGGGAACGGATGTCTCAGTGGATGAATTACGGCCGTTGTGCGGTCGTCTGGTCATTTACACCTTCTGTCTGGTGGTGTCATCCATGTAGCAGACTAGATCCGGGTTGCGCACTCGTTCATGTATGGGGCTGAGTTTACCAGTGCTGTCAGCATTGGGGTCCAAGCCTCGTGTATGTATAATGTGTTGCGGGCGTAGATTGTATTGACCTTTGACTTATCCTTGGGGGGTTGACGTGCTTGTTTTCCAGATGTATCGTGCGTATGCAAACATGCGATGCGTTCCAGGTTCACCGTTCTGGAAGTATATATCCGAACGGACCACTCGACTGAAGTAGGTATCGCGGAAGATTCCTAACTGAGGCATCAGCAGGATACGGCCAAGAGCACAAACTCAAGGGAATTGATGGTCGGCACTGAGTTGAACCAGAAATGGCAGTTCAGTAATATCATGTTGACAGTTGCTGTTTCAACAAGCATAGGTTTTCAACGGTAGGTATATTGCATGGAAAACTCATGCAGCACTGCTGTATAAAACCAAGCATAGAGCCGTTTACCATAAGAAGCCCGGGTGGTCTAGTGGTATGATTCTCGCTTAGGGATACAAACCCAAGCATATCTGCGAGAGGTCCCGCGTTCGATCCGCGGCTCGGGCCTTCAACATTTCTTTTTTTGCCAGCATCTCGATCTCTTTTTTTTCTTTTTGCCATGACCATGATGATCCCCAACCTCCTCCTCCTCCACGATGATGCAGAGACATCAAGCGGTGTACGCCCATGGGGCACGGAATGGGCCAACACCGGGACCAAAACCCCACCTCCATGAATCCTATCGGCCAGTGCCTTGGTTCTTTATCGCCCGCGGGATCTCGCCCGACGCGTTGCTGTGCCAACCGGTCTCCAGAACTCCCACCGCAATTCAATAGTCTTTCCCCAGTATCCAGCCTCGCGCAGATAAAGCGTGCGAAGGGCTGCACTGCACGTCTATCAACAGCTGACGACCGACCGACTGCCACGCCCACCGCAGGTACTGTATGACACCTCCGATCGCCACAGGGCATCGTCATCAACAACGCGGAGGTGGGGGCTGCTGCACTGCTACAGCCTAGAATCAGCTATATATCCCGACACAATGGCTCGACTCAACCCCAACAGCCCCATCAAGCCCGCGGTGTTCCGGCCTCAAGCCAAGCCCATCGCCCAGACGGTCGTCCGCGAGGTCCCCGAGTACGCAACGTCGTCCGCGTCCGAGGCAGAGGATGAACCCCAGCAACAATGGACGGTCACCACACTGAAGGGACAAACAAAGGGCGACTCGGTAACAACGACTACAACAATAACCGAAAAGTCCCCACAGCAACAGCAACAAAAACAACAACGAAGAGTCCGACACCAAAGAACAGGGACCGTCTCCAGTGGGGTTTTCGACATCTTCTCCGATAGCGATGGCGGGCTCAGCGAAACCGAGTTCAGCAGCGCGCGGTCCTCGACCCGCTCTTTGTGCGAGACACGGACAACAGACCCTTTGAGACTGTCGCAGATCAATTCTTTGTCCGCGGCCCCTTTGTCCCAACCGCCGCCCTCCCCGCGGCGTCGCAGGCCAACAAGGAAGCCGGAGACTTACAACTACGACAAGGAGAATGACCCGATCGAGCACGAGCACGAGCACGATCGCGACGTTCCCCCGCTGTCGAGGAATCCCTCGGATGCGTCGTCGTCGTCGTCGTCGAGTCGCTCGCCGGTGCGTAGACCGGCTGATACTCGACCATCACCAGGAAGAGGAATGTCGAACACTCAGCGCCCGCTCACGGGCTATCGGCGGCCAGAACCCGAGTCTGCCGACGAAAAAAGCGAGGAAGACAATGACGCCAACTCAATGGCCGATTTCATTGTCAGCGACAATGAAGACCTCAGTTTTCACAACTCCTCCGAGGATGAAACAGAGGAAGAAGAGTTCGAGAAGCCCGCGCAGCCCTCGCCCTCGCCGCCCAGAACAGCCACAAGAAAGAGATTGTTCAGGGGTCGACGACCGGGTCACGAAGAAAGAGAGATAAAAAAAGACCTGCAAGAAGATCCAGCTGCAGCTGGCTCGGACAACGAGGTGGATCTGAAACTGGTACCATCCTTGCCCGCCAGGTTGACAATGGTAGCCCCCAAGCTGGAGGCCACGCCCAGACGTCTCTTTCAGGACGAGATCAACCTCACCGACAAGCTGAACAATATGCACCTGGAGAACAATGACCCGGCCCTCCAACTCCAGCGGGATCTATTCACGTAAATCTCCCATAAATGCTCCATTCACACCCCTGTCTCTTTGGGAAAACCTCTGGTTCGCATGCTAATATACACTCCCAAGGACCGGTCAATACGATGACTCTCCAACCAAGAGATCGCAGGCCAACAGAAGCATTGAATCGGCAACGGGGACGACGACGACGACAACGAAAACCTCGACACCGCCATCGAGTCCCTCGAAGGGACGCCTTCGATCCCCCACGAAAGACAGACTTCGGGTGCACATCCCGCCCACCCCCCACCGCGAGAGCGTAGACGCCTTCTGGAGCGAGGAAGTCACCAACGACTGGGTCACGCAGCACTCCCCCTGCAAGGTCGACGACCTCCTCCGGGAGTTCGACGAAGAGTCCGACGCCGGAGTCATCGACGTGGACATCATGCCCCGGGGCGCCAACCGCCGCAGCCACCCACCAGCCTCCCCCACCCGCAAACCCCTCAGCAAGACGGCACTCAAACGCGCCGAGACCGAGAAGAAGAAAGCCGAGAAGGCCCGCAAGCAAGCCTTTGACGCCTCCAAAGCCGGTTTCGCGGAGGATTTCTTCAAGACCCTCGACAATGCCGTGAACGACGGCCAAGTCCAGAAACTCGCCGCCACGACCGGAGGCGTTGAGATCGTGTGGAGCAAGACCCTGCAAACCACCGCCGGCCGCGCCACCTGGAAGCGAGTGACACCAGGCAAGCAGCAGCAGCAGCGCGAGTCCGACCTCCCCGGATCCGAGAAGGACACCCCCACCAAAGCTGCCAAGCACTACGTCAAGATCGAGCTCGCCGACCGGATCATCGACAGCGAGGAGCGCATCATCAAGACGGTGGCGCACGAGTACTGCCACCTGGCCAACTACATGATCTCGGACGTGCACGACAACCCGCACGGGGAGAGCTTCAAGGCGTGGGGCCGCAAGTGCATCGCGGCGCTGCAGGACCACCCGGTGTACGGCGGCGGGCGGGTCGAGATCTCCACCAAGCACAACTACAAGATCGACTACAAGTACGTGTGGAGCTGCGTCGACTGCGGCCAGACCTACGGCCGGCACTCGAAGAGCATCAACCCCGTGCGGTCGCGGTGTGGCCGGTGCCACGGGCTGCTGCAGCAGATCAAGCCCAAGCCGCGCAGCGTCTCGCCGCGGAAGAAGCAGCCGCTGTCGCTGCTGCCGAATGCGCGGGGGCTGCTGGCGGAGGTGGCCAAGGTGATGGACGGGGTTGCAGCTGTCACGACGCTGGATGATTCCGACTAGCCAGTGCACTTGGCATCTGGAAAACCAAGAGTCTTGATGGCGTTTTTCCTTTGGTGCTCAGTTTCTTAGCGGTGATGCATTGGTGTAATTTATTTCGGGTTGGATTTTGTATCTAATTGTGGGTGCTGCTGACCTGGTGTTAGGGCATGCTCACTAGCTCAATGTACAAAAAATTCTTGCTTGCAATAGTGGAATTTCCAATTTAACTGTCGGATTGACTCAATTCATAACTAACCTAGGTATCTATCTATCTATCTATCTATACACGCGACAATCGCGCCGCTAAACTATTTGTATGCATAAACAATGATGCTTCCTTCTTTCCTTATCCTTCAGTCCTGTCATTCCCCGCATCCAGTACATTCCACCCTCATCCCGATCACCATAAGATCCAAGATCCAAATCCCATCCCCATCCACTTCACCCTCGACCTTCCCCTTTCCCCTTCATCTTAAGATAAAAAGATGAGGAGGGGAGATAAATCAAGCAAAAAGCCCCCACTCCACCACCTCCAACCCGCGCACCAACTCGGCCACGACCCCCTCGCCCACCTCAATTTCCCTCCTCAACCCCGCGGCATCCCCCCTCTCCACAAACTCCTTCTCGGGAACATTGACCAACACCAACAGATCCGTCTCCTGCTCCACCAGCCGCACCAACAAAAACCAGCACTGCGTTGTCGTCGTGCCTGTGCCTGCCTGGTCCTCACTCGACCCAGCCCCAGCCCCTGCTTCTGGTGCTCCCGCCACCACCCTCTGCTGTTGTGGGCGTCGTTGTTGTTGTTGTTGCAGTGAAGCCCTCCCGCCGCCCAGAGGGGAAGAAAACCCCACCCGCCCCGCATAAGCAGCCACCTCCCCGGCAAACCGGGGGAGTGCCACCCGGGCGGGAGGCTGGAGGATGGCCAGCGTGTCGGCGGGATCGCAGATGTCGAGGAGGTGGTGGAGGGCGGCGGCGCGGTTGAGGGCTTCTTGGTCGGGGGCGTGGCCGGGTTGGGGGCTGGTACCGGAAAGGAGGCGCGGGTGGGCGTGCAGGGTGGCTTGGGCGACGGGGTTGGGGACGGGTTGGTTGAGCTCGATGATGAGGGAGGAGAGCGTGGTCGGGGAGAGGTAGAGTTCTTGGTGGTCGGGGATTTCGCGGAGGGTGCTTTTTTTGAGGGGGGGGGGGGGGGGTTAGCCAGGAGTTTTGCGGTTAAGGGATAAGAGGGGGATTTTTGGGGGGAGGAAGGGGGTATCGGGGCGGGGCAGCTCACCTCGCGTCGATCCAGCCTTCGGGGATGATGCCTTGGATGGCGCCTCCGTAGAGGGGTTGGGGGGTGTAGGTGGGCATTGTTCTGGGAGGATTGGGGGGTTGGTTGGTGTGGTGGGTTGTTGTGGAGGATGGGTATTTGGTGGTTGTGTGATGCTGAGCGTGAGTAGATGGTGTAGTATCTGGGAGATTGAAGTATTTATGTGTAGTATAGATGTTTGGTTAAAAGCTCAGTTGAAGGAACAAAGCTAAGCTGCGGAAAGCTGGGATAGCAGAACTTCACATGATAGCGGGGCTGCGGGGGTCTTGCGGCTTGCGGCTTGCGGCTTGCATAAATGACTAATTATGCTCAGCCTTGTGACTCACCGATCTATAAGTTTACTTCACATCAACAACACCAGCCACCTAGACTCATATCATGACTCAATGCTTTAGATCTCGAACATATGGCGTCGCAGACTGCTATATCTTGCTCATCCAAGGCTAGAATCCAAGGCTAGCACTGACCAACCTACAAGTATGGTCAAACAACACCCGCCACCTGGACTCATATCTTGACTCAACGCTTATATCAAAAACATAGTATAGCGTGGCGGAATGCTATCCTGCTCACCTGAAGGCTAGACTAACTGCCTAAAGAAGACTAACTAGCAACGACCGCCATAGTGCTAGCATATCATGACTCTACACTAACGGCCCAGTCCAGTCAAGCTCAACTCCTGCCCTGAAAGAAGGGCAATATTGATGGGATGAGTGATGGATGTGCACAGTACAGTACAATGCACTAACAAATCGCTGCACGGGTGAATATGGCTTAGGTCACGGCACATCAGAAGAAGCGAGGCAATGGTTAGTTGGGTGGTGCTCGGTCTTCTCTTCCTGGGGATAGTAGTTAGGGTCCCTTAGTAATTCAAGTCAGAATCCATGGCTAAGGAGTCATGCACTACATCGGAAGATATGCAAGTCACACACTAGAGGGTTCTACTGCACCCTTCACAGACGTCTAGTCACTTGAGAGGGTCTGATGAGTTGTAGATGCTGCAGACTTCGGCAAAGCATTCAACATGCCGATTGAAGGGCTCGGCAAGCGCGTCCGCAGTCCCCGAGGCTAGCCCTAGACATAAACCGCCGGAACTGGAACTATGCAGTGGGCAGAGTCGACAGACGCCTCATGCACAAGCACTACTCGCCGATGTGATTCCAATAAAAGGGTCACTAGGTACACATAATACTACCTAGAATCTGCCCGTAGTCAGAGATATCAATATACCGAACAAGACCACTCGACATGAGTGGCGAAAGCGAAAGTGTCTTTTCACGTCTTGTCTTACAGAAGGAGGATGTCTCCATACTTCGGATCGGCAACACAGCCATACAGCCGACGTACTGTATGTAAAATCCGGGGTCGTAATTTATGTACCCTCGAATAGACCCCTGCACCGGCGCCATCCCAGTTTCTCATGCCTACCACATACACACCATGAGTTGAATTTGTTCTCCTCCTCTTCTTCTTTCGTTCCCTCTAGCCCACCCACCCCATTGCGAACATAGCGGGACATCATCACCATGTCCTTCATCAGACAGCAGCGTCCCCACCACATCCTCCGTTCCCTGTATACGTCACCACCACCACCACCACCACCACCCGCACGAGTCCAACTCGCCTACGAGCTCCATCACCACCACCGCCAACCACCGCGCAGCAGCAGCAGCAGCCCCTCAACATCCCCAATTCTCTTCCTCCATGGGTTTCTCGGCTCGAAGCGCGAGAATCGACTGATTAGTAGGCAAGCACTTTCCCAGAAACTCATTGGTTCCATGGCTCCTTGCGTCTCTTCTCCCCCGTTTTTCTCGTCTTGCATTGTAACCACTAGTTATGCTATACCTTAGTAGATAATGCGGGAAAACCCATGGTTTCTAAATATGAGTCCTTAGACAACTGGCTAAGGATACCTCCCGAGTAGTCTATGTATTGGTCTGTTCCCTCCCTTCCCTTCTGATAGAGCAGAATCGCATGTTGCCATTGAATGATTTCGCTTTGAATTTTAATTGAGATTCATCACCTAGCCATACCCCGAACCGCAAGATAATTCCAGCGAAACTGACACCGTGAGAGACAGGATCTGCGCAACCACGGCGACTCCGGCCACCATCCGAAGCACGACTATATGGAACTGGCGCTAGATGTGCGAAGCTTCATCGAGAAACACCGCATTCGAGAGCCGACTATCATCGGGCATTCGATGTATGTGCGAGAAATCTCTTTCCCACCCGCTCTTCCTCAGTAATTGACTCAATGTTTCTCCCATGCTCATAGGGGAGCGAAAACAGCTTTAACCCTGTCGCTGGAATCTCCTAACCTCATCAAAGATGTCGTGGCCATCGACAACGGCCCCATCCATTTACCGCTTAAATCGGATTTCCTGGGATACCTGCAAGGTCTGGCCCGATTGCAAGAGGAGCGGATCACCAGCCATCGGCAAGCCGATGAAATTCTGGCGGCATATGAGAAGGTACATTGTTTCGTTACCAATAATGTTTGTTCTTGTTCCCGTTCAGAGACTCACTATCTCTTGCCCATTCTCATTGTTTAGGACCCCGTCATTCGACTCTGGCTCATCAGCAACCTCGTGAAGAAACCAAATTCGCCATATCTCGACCTGCGAATCCCCGTGGAGATCCTGAAAACGGCCATGGGGCCCCTGGGCGACTTCCCCTACAGAGAGACCCAGGAAGGAGCCAAGCAGTTTCACGGGCGTGTGCTCTTCCTGAGAGCACTTCGGAGCCATTATATCCCGGAAACGGCGTTTCCGACGATATCTTCGTTCTTCCCAGCCGCCAAGATCGTGAACATTGATAGTGGTCACTGGATCGTTCAAGAGAAACCGGAGGAACTGCGGCAAGGTACGTTTGTGCTTTCCCTTCCCAAGCTATCCCTCGATATGTTCGCCTGGAGCCGAATGCGCGATACTGACGCTTAGTCCTTCGATATAGCTGTTACAGAGTTCTTATCATAGCCTAGAAAAGGCACCGTCCGGTGCCGATGGGCTTTCCATGTTGGACGATTTTGCGGACATATATGCGAACCCTCCTTGCAGACTCGACCCAAGAGAGTAAACCTTTGTGCATACGAGGTCGCTGATTCACAAGAGCCGCAAGATACACTTTGCACGCCGGCCCCTGTAACACCATTCTTAATATGTCGTATCTAGATCGCTGTCCAGATTAGGCCAATAGATTCCTTGCATTTGTGTATCAGTCAAGAACTCGTCCAGCTGAGCCGGATAAAACTCGTCCTGTGACAAGAATGCGCCCATAGAGGGCTCCATGAAGACGGCACTGCTCCCACCAGCAGCCTGCTGCGTCATAAGTAGAGGCGGTCCGACGTCCGCAATGGACGCGCGCGGCTGGATAGCGGAAACGTTTTGATGAGCCTCGACACTTGAATGCGGTCCCTCGGTGATAGCGTCATTATTTGAAGGACATGGTTCACCTGCGGATGTAAGACTCTGTATATCAGACTTGATCCCATCCAGGTGTTGACAGTAATGCCTCGCGGGATAGTTCCCAGCATCGCGGAGACTTTCAAGCAGGTGACTGGCGAATTCGAACTTCTGTCGATCCTCTTCAGGACTATCGGTGAGCAGACTCGCAATAGCCAGGATGGTGGCAGCGGAGAAAAGCTGCTGGGTCGTAAAGCAGTCGAATGTCCGCACCGACCCTTCGCTCCAAGCTTCGGTGATGATATTGAACGAGTCTCGCGCGCACTGGATACATGCTTCTGCTAACGTTCGTGTATCAGTGTGGAGATGATCCATGCTCGGTGAATCTACCCCAGCCGTCATCCGAACGCGAGTCACGTAGAGGAGGACAGGGCGAGTGGTCAAGATCAAACACTGGAAGGGTCAGTTGGGCCACTTTCTAGGTAGAGAGAGAATCAAGCCAACCTGGTTGAAGGAGAGGTGGAGGTCCATCGTAGCGGGTCCTCGATAAGAGCCGTCCGCAGTCGCTCTCAAAGACTCTGGCATGATACGATACCATTGCCGGAGATCTTTCAAGGCACTCTGAGCCCGACCCAAGAAAGGGCTAGAGTATGTACTTCGCCCATAGAGTGTCCTGATGATCTTGTTGGTCAGCCTGGCAAGAGAGATTCTCGACGCAAGAGAGTCGGTGCACTGAAAATCCACAGCTTGGGGTTCGGGAAGTTGGATCTCCTTAGGTAGATCAACAAAGATCTCCTCGTCCGAGACTGATATTGCTTGACTGCTGATAGTCGCACACTGATGATCGAGAAGATAGGAAGTCCACCAAAGTCGATTTAGGTGTTCCCGAGTACCTGCATCATGGATTTGAGAGTCCGGCACGTTGAAGTGTAACCCCATCACAATGCAGTGCCGAATGGCGGAGCTGGCTAAAAAGTATGCAGAATGACGCCTGTTGACGTGTAGCGAGTACAGAGCCTAGAGCACGCTTCAGCAAAGAAAAGGAAGAAACAGACCAAAGAGAGACAAAGGCGCTCATTCTGAGTTTCAGTCTCCTTACCAAGATCAAACATGTCTCCACGTAGTCGGTGGTGGGTCGTTCATGTAAGACACCATAAGCTTTGCTCGCCTCCTTGAAAAATGCCATGCCCGGTACCCCGTCGGATGAAGATTTACCCTGGCTCGAACAAAGTTCCCCAAATGCGAACAACGCAAAGATCTTACATTTGGAGAGAGGATCTAGCGAGGCTGGCGCTTGGATGTATTTCTCAAAGAGGGCCCATGTCGCGCTTTTTCGCACAATATGATAACGCCCGTCAAAGTACGCCAGAGCTGTTTTGAGCAAAACACGAGCATGCACATGGTTGAGCTTAGGAATGGCGCAGTCAGGCACTAGATCATCTGCCGGATAAGCTGTCCTCGGGATATGGCTCTGGGGCCTCGTCGAAATGGTCTGGCGAATTCGAGTCGCAAAGGCCGGATCCGCAACCTCGCCTATCAGAATTGGAATTCTGGAGGAGTTGACCGGCAGGAACCAAGGCCTTTCATCCATCAAGGGGTTTCGAGTCGGCTCTTCGAAGTGATCCGTTGCTGGGCTCGTTGGCGTAGGCTCTGGGGCAGGCCCTGGAGTTGATCTGGTTCGATCCCCAGAGCGAGCGCGCAGAGCATCATTCTCTTGGATAAGCCGATCGAGATAACTGTTTCGAACCTGTTCTTCAGCTAAGATTCACAACCGCAGGTTTCAGCATCAGCACACACTTTTGACTGATCTTGATCTGCCGGTCTCGCTTCGGATATATACACTCCGACACGCAGTCCGATTGCACACAGGTCTTACAGGGGGAGCCTCCGGGGCATCGGACCTTCCTTGTGTGACATCTTTCGCAGCTAGAAGACGGTTATGGGTGTTATCTTTCTAGTGCCGCTGAGCGGAATGGAGGAGGACTTACGCGACAGATTTGGATTTACGAGCAGACCCGGCTTGACGCCGATCCACGCCGCTAACCTTCTGGCTCCTGTCTGGCGGCATCTGAGAAGCTTTTGCCCGAAGAAAAGGGAGGGTGACAAAAAGGCCGAGTTGATGATTTAGCTGGAGAAGATGGAGTGGCGAGGGAGACTATCGTCTCGGCAAGAGGATGTCCATGCCGGGGAGGGGATGATTACCTCAGCCTGTATGTATTGTATGCATCATTCACACCACCCGACACCGCCAAGGTTTCGTCAGATAAGGCTCAAAGTTCGCACTCAGACTGAAGAGTGATATATACACACACGGCGAGTCTGCCCATTGGCCGAACGGGGGCGATGGTGGAAAACGACCCAGAGTAAACGGACGGCAAAGAGGGTTTCGTGCCGAGCAATCATCGTTTCGCTGGCTCAGCATGATGGCTATTATTATAGAGGGAAGATTCCTTGGATGTTTGTTCAGAGAGAAGCTCAGTTACGTGAAGTCCACAATCTTTGAGCTCCAGATCCGTCGACCCGTTCTATCCACTTAAGCACAATCGCACCAACATCATCGCGATAGACCAACCCACGCAATGACAGACTGGGCTCATGTCTCCAACCCCCAGCGGCTCGACAAGACCGCCGAGCTCAACGCCGCCGAGTGCGTCCGAAACCTCTCCAACTGGGCGCATGCAGTCGACGAAATCGCGACGTGGCCCGAGTACAGTCCTCAGCCGCTGCACTCCATGAACAACACAGCGAGAAGCCTGAAGCTTGCGAACCTATTCGTGAAAGACGAAAGCACCCGATTTGGAACCGGTCTCGGCTCGTTCAAAGCTCTTGGGGCGCCGTACGCCGTGTTCCGGATCCTGGCCGACGAGGTATTCGCAAAGACTGGCGTGCGACCGACGTCCGCAGAGCTGCGGACGGGCACATACAAGGCCATCACGGAGCGGGTCACCGTCTGTGTGGCCACGGATGGCAACCAGGGCCGGGGACTCGCCTACGGGGCCAAGGTCTTCGGGTGTCGGTGTGTCGACTACATCCACAGCCACGTCAGCGAGGGCCGCGCCGAGGCCATGAAAGACTTGGGAGCCATTGTGATCCGCATTGACGGCGAGTACGAGGCCTCCGTGGAACGCGCCAAGGAGGATGCGCGCATGAACGGATGGCATTTCGTCAGCAGTACCTCGTGGAGCGACTTTGACGGCGGGATCCCGCAGAATGTGATGAATGCATATATGGTGGTGGTCGAGGAGGCCCTTCGCATGCTCCCTGCGGAAGCGGCGATTTCGCACGTCTTCGTTTGTGGGGGAGTGGGCAGTATCGCGGCTGCCGTGTTCCTGGGGTTCATGCTTCGGCACCAGAGCCTCACGCAGACGGGCGGCACTCTTGCATCACCGCCTCGATTTGTGGTCGTGGAGCCACGGGAGGCGGATTGCCTCCTCCAGAGCGCCCGTCAAGGTGCTCCTGTCCAGTCGGAGGGGAGTCTGCGAACGCTGATGGCCGGCCTAGCGTGTCGTGCACCCTCGCCAGCCGCCTGGAAGGTTCTGTCGTGGCTGACCAGCGATTTCGTCTCCGTTCCGGATACGGTGGCTGTACAGGGAATGAAGTATCTGGCCAGCCCGGCGACCGGTGACGTGCCGGTGGTCTGCGGCGAGTCGTCAGCCGCCAACATGGGCGTCTTGTTGCAAGCTGGGGCTGATGACGGGCTACGTGAGAGACTTGGTTTGGATGAGAACAGCCAGGTGATGATCTTCAATCTGGAGGGAGCTACGGATCCTAAGATTTTTGAGGAGCTTGTTGGAAAATCGCCTCAAGCAGTATTTGCTGCCCAGTCCTCTTTCCCGAGCGCGTAGATAGTGAATGAAACTCATGCAAAGTATATACCGTCGCATAGTCATGAGCCATGAACACCAGGTAGATGCATTTGTAGTTCAAGAGACGTACATGACACAACTGCACCACGGACCAGTCAGCCTTCCAAGAGTGGACAATCATCCATCCATAAGCGCAAAAGTAAGATCGGAACGTTTCCCAAAAACTTCTACCAAGAACGCAAGCACCTAGCAAGCACCTAATTGAACCCTACTAGACACCGATAAATCTCCCTCAAAGATGAGCCACCACCTCAATCTCCACATCCGTCCCAAGCGGCAGCTGCTTCACAGCCACACACGTGCGTGCCTGCCACCCTCACTGTCAGAACATTCGCGCAGCACCCATCCAAAGCCCCCTCGAAAAACACATACCGGCGGCGTGCCATTGTTGAACACATTCAAGTAGGCCTCATTCATCGACCCATAGTTACTCATATCGTCGATGAAAATTGTGGCTTTGATCTTGATGACCAAGAAAAAAGACGAATCAGTGCTCAACTCCTGCCATCGACAAGTAAAGCATTCCACATAGGTCTAGCTTACAATATTGTCCAAGGAGCTCCCCGCAGCTTCGAGGATGTTGGAGATATTCTTCAGGCATTGGACCTATCAGCGATGCTGTCAGCCAGAATCGCCTCGCCATGATTTGAATCGCTAGGCGCTCTCTTGTCTTACCGTGCGGTCTCCAGTAGTCCCTTCGACCAACCGTCCCGTCGCAGGATCCATGCCCACGGCGCCCGAGGTATAGACCATCTTCTCGTGCACGATGGCCTGGGAGAAGAATGGCTTGGGGGCCGGGGCGTTGTCGGTTCGGATGGCTCTTTTGCTCATGATGCTTTCACAATGCTTTGACAGGTGAGAGAAGGACTGATAGAGGCAGGAAAGAGAGAAGAAGAGAGGAAATGGGATCTCAATTCACCGGTCAAGTGCGGTCTTGCTTTTGCGAGAAGTTCCTACAGTACCGTTGGGGTACATGTACATGTAACTGTACACACAAGAGAACCACTCCCGGCATGTTGAGACAAACACCGAGCGCTCTCGGCGCCGGAAATGCACTCCCCGGCGCCGCGGCGTCCAATCGAGTCTGGGGGAGCATAGCGTGAATTGTCCGTTTTGGTATCTGAACTTGATATTCTGGGTTTCTTGTTACATTCTTCAATGTGTCTGATTAGGAGTGTCGTTTCCCACATGTTTATGGCTTTTATATGTCTATGTACAGCGAACTATGAATTTAGGCCGTCCTAGACACAGTATAGTACGTGTACGTAGTACCATATCTAGTAAGACACATCAATACGATGTATTCGGCCTGTGATTGGGTATATCTCTAGTATAGACGATGGATACGAGTAAATAAGACTATACCGGAGGAAGACCCTTATGCATGGCAACTCACTCCACCAATTGCCCTGGCCTCAAGCCCAACGCCACACAAACCCGTTCCAAGCTCTGCGTTTGTGCGCGCTGATACCACTCGTCGACATCCATCGGTCGTTCCTGGAGCGCGTTCTCGAAGCCCTCCCGATCGCTCTTCCCTTCTTGACAGAGCACGCGATGGTTGTTCACAGCTTGGGACTGTAAATTCGATTGGAAGATCCCCGCGGCGGAGAAGGGCAGAAAATCCTCATATGTGATCGGTGACGCCTCGATATGACCTTCGGCTATCAATTGCTCCAGAGAGTAAGTACGGGATCCATCTTGCGGTAAGGCGCCCATGCCTTCTGGTCCCGTGCAACGGTATTCGCAGTAGATCAACCCCTGCTGCCTCAGCGCGGTCCAGTCATCCGGGTACTGTTCGAAGACTGCAGCCATGATGGCATCGACCTGCTCGGGGTCGGCGCCTGTAGCTTGAGCCATGCTCTCCTCCAAGAGTCTGTCATACAGCTGTCTCCCTTTCGGCGTGACGGCAGCGCCTCGCTCTTCGATTTCGCCGAAACGGGCCTTGTGAGTGGCTCTTACCCATTGGCTCTGACTAGGATTCGAGGAAGTCTTGAAATTCACTGTCTCCTCCAGAGCAAGAAAGCTGGTCTGCCGGAGAAGAATGGGACACCTCCGCAGGGGCGGGCCTTCGATGCGGGACTTGACTGCCATGCCTGCGGCCTTCATGGTAGCCTGAACCTCGGCGATATTCAAGGTTCGCGGCGTGAGGTGGTTGATGTGAGCGCTCTGGAAGCAGGCGATATCGGCCAGGATAGGATGCTCGTTCTTCAGGACCTGGTACTGCTCGTATGTTGCGGCTGCCACCGACTGCCAACTGAAGCTGCGGAGCGCTTCGGGAATGAACACCTCGGCTTGCTCCTTGGTAAGTCTATGATCCTGTGCTTCAGCAATGTCGAGTAGTTCCAAAAGTGTATCGGTGAAGATCCTCCTTTGCCTTAGCAAGCTCATGGCCTGCGCTCTGGCAGCGTCAGATGCCAGTAGCTCCGGTCGAAGGAGAGTGGTGAACACCCGAAAGGGATTGCGATCGAGGCTCGAAGTTGTCTGGGGGCGAAAGCAGGTCGCGTGCATTGGGAGACCGGCCACAGATAGATCGTAGTAGCCGACGGGTTGCATGCCTAGCACCCTGAAAATCCGTCGCATAGTCTGAAGCTCGTAGGGTGTTCCGAGGCGGATAGCACCATGTCGTTCGAGGGTCAGTCGCTCTGCGCTGGCTCGCAGCGCCACAGTATCGGAGGTAGGCTTGATGGTGGCTGTATTGATCTCGCGCACGATCTTGATCAGGTCGCCGTACAGAGGCACTTCCTGCTTGTACATTGCCGACATGGCGGAAGCGAACTCCGTCCGTAAATCATCAGCGTCGACCATCTCGGAATAAGCAGGCTCGATTATCTGGTTCATGGTGTATGCTGCTGTTTGTTTGGCCGGGGGGGGGGGGGGGATTTGAGCTCAGATGTCGAGGTACAAGAACCTGCGCATCCCGCACTGCAACTATCGACTTATATTGTCATCGGTACCAGGCTTTCGCATCGTAGCACATGGGACTGATGCATATGATTGATTCAACGTCAGCCTAGATTATTGAATGCATGCCTTCGGCAAGACAGCCACGTTGCCGAAGTACTTTTCCGTGTCCGGCGTAGATTCTTGCTGCCCCGAGGGAAAGCCACGGGTTGATTGAATTCCAGTTGGGCGATGCTAAGAGAAATGGGAGAAAGTAAATGAGAATTGTACGATTTCTACCGCTTGAGAAGCGCAGGTATATACTAAATACGTATCTAGACCTTCACCTTCCACCTCCACTGCCATTCCAAGAGCGCCCACCGCGAACAAACGACACTCACCAACCCCACTACTAGCACTGCTGCGTAAAATCCCACCAACACCTGCGGTGTAGTCGTCTGCAGCAGCTCTCCTCCAATAGGAACCGTCAGCAACCCTCCAAATGCAGCGACACTGTAAACTGTCCCGTAGAAGCGACCATACTCCTCCGTCCGACATAATTGTCCCGCACAGACCGGCGCCAGCGAGATCCACCCCCCGGATCCAAAACCAAAGATAGCAACCACAGTATACAGTGTTGCTTGATCGCGAGATCCGACTGGAATCCAGACTGCAGCCATCACCACGAGTGTCATCACCACCAATAGAAGAAGGGTGTTGAACCGGCCGAAAAGATCAGCAGCAAGACCGGGTAGCACTCGGCCCATCAGACTCATACTGTTGAGCACAGTGAGAGAGTAGAACTGGGTGTCAAGAGAAAGACCGGCGTAACGAACGTATGTTGGGAGGAGGGAGACACAACCAAACATGATGAATTCGAAGGAGAAGACGGCGATGGCAAGGAAGCAAAAGCGAGGAGAACGAAACACCTGGAAGTCGACTGTAGCGCGATTCTGGGTACTGGTCGGAAGACGCCCCTTGACAAGGAAAATTCCCAGCGAGTAGCAGGCCAGGGCAACAAAGGCCATGATACGAACGGACCAGGTCCAACCGTACTGACCGAAGCACTTACGCAGGATGAGGGGTAAGATTGCCCCGCCTGCAGAAGAACCAGCCATGCAAATTCCCGACGCGAGCCCGCGACGACGGAAGAACCAATGACTCAAGACACTGATGGAGACAGTCGTCACGATGGCAGCAGATGTCCCTCCCAGAATACTGAGACAGAGGATGAAATGCCAGTACCTGGAGCATTGGGCGAGAAGAAGATAGGACAAGAAGCTGGCAAGGGAGCCACAAGCTAGCAGCACTCGGGGCCCATAGCGATCGAAAAGTGGTCCTACTTGAACCCCGAGGAACAGAGTCAGGAAAACGAAGATGGCGGTAATCCAACCAACATCTCGAACGCTGTAGTGAGCAAGCTGGTTGACACTGATGTAGTCTTGCACGGATCCGACTGCAAAAAGTTAATGATCGCTTCGAAAGCATATGTATGATACTGAGGACACGCACTAGCTGCCTGAAACCCGAAAGAAGGAAACATAATCAAGAAAGAACCCAGGAGACAAGTCCATGCATCGCGCCCACCCTCGGGGAAAGCCAGACTAACGGCTCCAGTGGGATTCACATCGTCGGAGGATGGCTCCGGTTCTTGGGTAAGAATATTCAGTTCTTGATTCGATGTATCGGCGTTGTGGTGCATGATCGCGAAGTAAGGCTGTAGAAACGGTGAACAACGCTGGATACCAAACCAGGGAAGCCCGCGACTTGTTCTCTTTTATACTCAAAAAGACAGGCGAGGAGAAGACGAACGAGAGCTTCGGGTCATGTCACCGAAGGGCGTGCTGTGGAGATTGGAGATTAGATAACGGGTTAGGTTTGTTAGTGATCAGATGTTCCTTCCGGTGGCGGCGATTTTGTGGGCTACGCCGGGGCTATTGAGCAGGAAAAAAGTACTACATAGTCAAAGCTGAAAGGAAAAGTGCACCATTTAAGCAGAAAATTTGCTCAAGGTAGTTGGCAAGCTGAATTCAAAAGCTAATCCTTATTGCGTATTATCACATATCGAGGAGCTCCTCAAGATAGTCATCCAACGCTATAATCCGGAACTGACTTCCCCATTTCGCGCGGAAGTCCTTCCGGCGATAAGCATAACTAGTTACTGGCGTAAAACTGACCAACTCAACGGTCCATCCACGTCGCAGTGCTCTTTCCACCATTTTCATGAACCCACCCGAGAATTCGGCTTCCGCCGCGTCGCCCGTGGCAAGAACAATGGTGGCAGGTTCGTCTGTATCAAGCAGACTCTCCAAGATTTTCAGATGTAGAATTTCGTCTACACCCTGCTCAACCCAGCGCTCCTCCGGTCCCTCGTTCGTTTCTGAACCACTACCGGGGTCGTGGGAACCCGTCCGAAGATTCTTTCGAAACTTCAATTGACGGGCGGTCATGTGCTTGACCTTGTGCACACGATCAAGGATGTTGGTTTCGTAGCCAAGCTGTTCACCTTCACGGATGGCAGCAAACCGGTCAGACCCAACCAAGACTCGCTTGGCAGTGGGCCGCCCGCGTTCGAGAATCAAAGAAAAGTTTTGGAAGGACAACGGCAACCGCCGGATGCGCGTCTTCACAGGAATATGCCGGGACAGCTTCATTGTGTCGTGATAACCAACCATAATCTATATCGCGTTAGTCATTCATATGGTGCTTCAGATGACGAGACAAACATTAGACATATCCACGAAGACGTGAATAGGAAGGCATGAATTCTTGTCCTTCTTACTGGCCACAGGACGATTCGCCTGGGCAACGACATTTGCATAGTCCGGGAAGTTTTTCAACAATTTAGTCAAGAGACCAATTCTCCGCTCCGTGGTTGACTTGTAGGTATTAGGCTGGATACGTAAAGGGTCGGGATTAGACGGGCACTTGACAACTTTCGAAGCCAAAGGCTCCACTGTCTCGTCGTAGGAAGATGGTGGGGTATCGTATGGGTCGACATAAGTACTCGCTGCACCCACTTGCGGAGGAACCAAAGAAAGGATTCCGTTGTTTGTAGTGAGGGGGGGATCGAAGACACTCAAACTGCCGTCCGAATCTGCACCCTGGTTGCTCTCACTTGAGCTCAGGTCGTGCGTAGCTTTGGTTGATGCATCATTGTGGCTGGCCTTGCATGTTTCAGCAATGGCCTTGGCTTGCACTTTGCGGGCTCTTGAAATTCCAGAGCTAGGGATGGGTTTGGGTGGCGTCCGAGGAGGTTCTTGGTCGGCATTCACTGCCGACTTCTTCGACGAAGGGCGTTGCAGTATTTCGATCCGAGGGTTCGGTGGCGAGGATGAGGACAGACCTTGAGCTTGAGGTTCAATGTCTGCATCGGACGACAGGTTGCTGGCATCCCCCAAATAATCCCACAGCGACCCAAAATCACCAAGCCTTGGAGAGCGAGTCCCCAAGCTCAGTTGGGTTTGCTGGGAGCTTTTTGAGGTGGACTCATCCTGATTTGCTACCTCGGTAGACTGAGAAGCTGGGAGAGAATCACGGTGGCGATGAGGTGCATATGAGCTGCCGCCGCCGTAGGTAGGCGTGCGGAGAAGGTTTATCACCGCAGTGAAATCCCAGTGCGAATTAGACTCAGCAGACGATGGCATTGAAAGACTTGACGACGAAAAACAATAAAGTGTGTGGAGCAAGGAGGCTTCAACAATAGGCGCCCGAGATAGATAAGGGCGGGGTTGTTGATATCGATGGGAAAAGATAGGAAAGACTGGCTCTGGCTGACTGAAGAAATCACACGAATCAAAGGACTATGAGAACGAGTCTGCAAAAGAAGTTGAAAGCATCAAGATGCAGAAAATCCACATGTTGGTCAAAGGACCCGTATAGAGAACGTTGGCATGGAAAGCAGGAAGGAGAGAGAGATGGAGGGAGGAGAAAGAATGAGTATTCAGAAGGAGAGACGGGAAGAGCCAGCAGCAACGGTTAGGCATGGGGCGACTCGGGCTCGAACGGGGCGGAGTCATCGGGTGGCGGTGAACAACTGTCACTTTTCTGTCACTTCTTACCGCTTGCTTGTTGTAGCTCACATTCCAGCTAGTCCTAAAGAAGAGTAGCTTGATTTCGGAGAAGCGAGAATGATAATCCGGACTTGGCGGGCGTACACGCGCTAAGCTGTTTTCAGAAATCCGGGGATAGAGTCATGACGACGTCATGTTCCAGACTTGGATCTGGACTCACTTGCAAAGAGGACCAAGTGGAATTCCCTGATTCTCTGCAAGCCTCGGTATCCAAAATAGAGCCAGAGGCCATCCACATCCGTCAGACTATGACGATTATCTCGATCTTGCCCCCATGATTGGGGCCGGGGTAACTCCCTCATGATGACGTTCATTCGCTGGTATCTCTTCCATGGAAACGCCCCTGGATACGAAACAGAGGGCTCAGATGGCGTGTGATGGTGAATGTGGAAGATGGTTAGTTAGTTGAAACGACGTCATCGAGTGGTTTCTATGGGAGTCCAATGTTATATAAAGTCTCTTCATCAACCTCCTCGAACTTCTCTCCTCCATCAACCAACACTCTCAATCAATCAACCAAGCTTCTCTACTCTCCACTACAACTTCATTAAAGAACACCTTCCGTTCAAACAACCATCAATCAACATGTCTGACACCGGTCGCAAGGATTTCTCTACCAGTAAGTGCCTCCTGCTGCTGCTGCGCTCCTCGCTGCGGACTTGACAACTCACATGCATCTACAGAGGCCAAGGAGGAGATCACTCCTGACTCCACCAAGTCCACCCAGGACAAGGTTAAGGAGACCTTCACCGACACCACTGATCGCCTTGCTCGTGGCACTCAGTCCGACAACTCCAAGTCTACCACTCAGGAGGCTTTCGACAAGACCCAGCGCTCCCACGACAACCATGCCCACGGCGGTTCTTCCCAGTCCATGTCAGCACCCCCCCGACCCTTGTCCTCGAAGATTATTGATACTAACTATCGAACAGTGGTGACAAGATCAAGAACGCTGTCGGCCTCGGCGACAACTAAATCGGTTTCACAATACCCAAGTACAACTGTAACATGGGTTGCAGCAGACTTTCGGTTTCCATCATGTGAATGATTATTGCCGGAGGAACACTGGCGGCTATGGGCAGATTGTTCTTATGATTTTCATGAGTTGATGATACCAAGCCTTTGATTGTACTACTCTCACTAGGTTTAATACAACATTTTACCGAACTTTGTGCATCCTTCGTAGTTGAAAGAAGTATTCTCAATCTCATTTACCTGTCAGCAATTGCATTTCGTTCACGAACAAGTCTGGAGAGTACCCTTTCTAGCTCTTTGCATTTCGTTCGAGCTCCAGGGACATCTTCGGGTAATTCATGGAGCACAGTTATCCTAGTTTCCAAATTCTGGACTGTCCCAAGAAGCATTATCACGTCCGCCTCTTTTGCCATGACATCTTCCAGCCGAGGTTCCTTGCCCCTGTTCCTTAAAAGAGAACTGATCCTGTCCCGATACTCACTCGCTTTCGCACTGAGCGACTTGGTATTCCGTGTCCACTCCGCCGTTATCGCTGGCAGATCAGCAGGCGTCTGAAAAGCTTCATTATTTTGGAGGTCATCCAATTGCGTCCGCAACGTAGCCAGTTCCCTCTCCAGATAGTTTTGTAGTGCTTCAACTTTAGACATTTGCTCCTGCACGTTGAACTCCTCCGTTGTGAGGTCAATGATGGACTGACCGAGGTCCACTGCGTCGGTGCTCAATGCCCCAAGAACTGCAGTTGTTTCCGCCAGATCGTAAAGACCCTGTCTGCCGCTCTCATCAAGCGAGAGCTCTATCTCATCAAGAATTTCGATTTTCTTGGGCTCCTCGCCCTGTTCTTGAAACTGGAAGGCCTGGACAGCTTGCTCGCGTGCTTCATGCACTACCATTGCCTCTTGATCCGCCGTATCATTGGCGGCAGCCAGGGCAAGCAAGGTCCGTAATGTGTCTTCATTCCGTTCAAATTGGGGAACTGGGTTAGGCGCATACTGCCGGCTCAGCCAGGAGTTCACATAGGCCCAGTCCTTGGCTTCAATGGCAGCTTGACGTGCCTTGGCGGGAGAGAAAAGAGGACTGTCCATGGAGAGGATGGCGATTGATAAGCGTGATTGAGATGGAATAATATAAAAAGGAACCTCGTATGGATTGAAGATAGAGAAGAATGACGCAAAGCCAACGATCAATGCATCCATGAACTTGGTTGCCAGCTCCTCGTCTCCGCGGGGTGCGTTTGTTCCTGAAAACGCCTGACATAAGCAAGCGCCCGCCGCTCCTTTTCCGCCCGCGGGCGTTTCTCCGCTTCTGTTGCGATACTCCGCAATTCTCCCAATCATCCTCAACACACAGCTGGCTCAGACGCCATTCGATCAGTCACCATGGCGAGCTATTTTCCGCCGAATGCACATCTAACGAGCCATACGTCGACGAAGACCTCCTCCCCAGCTGCCTCTCCGCTCTCTCCTCCAACCCAGCAGCGATCCAATGCGCTGTCCAACCGATTGACAAGTGTACTTTCCGCCTCGTACGCGGATTCGGACATTCGTGATGCGTTGGAGACTCTCAGTCTCCGAGGAATCCATAATACTGCAGAAGTTCGAAGGCAACTTCGTCTAGACGTTCAGAAGGAGGTTGTCGACTGCAATGCCGAGATTGTGCGCGACTTTGGAAAGGTTGCGGAGGTAAGAAGGTCCCAGGGAGCCAGAGCTGGGAGCGGAGTGATACTGACAGTATATGATCTCATAGCAACTGAAGCGGATCGGAACGGTCATCACGAACCTCAACCAAACATGTGAGGAGATGCGCAAACATATTGTTCTCGCCAAACAGGATACAACGCCCGTTCTTGAAGAAGCGTCTGCGCTGATGAGGCAAAAGACTGAGGCGGAGACCAAACAGCAGCTGCTCGATGCGTTTACACAACACTTTGTGGTCCCGGAGGAGGAACTCCTGGTATTGACGGCTGCAGAGGAACCGATCGACGACCATTTCTTCGAGGTCCTTGCCCGTGTGAAGCAGGTGCACCGGGACTGCGAAGTGCTTCTGGGCGGGGAGAACGAGCGACTCGGTCTGGAGCTCATGGAAAAGAGCACCAGAAGCCTGAACTCCGCCTATCAGAAGCTCTATCGGTGGGTCCAGAAAGAGTTCCGGTCTCTCAATCTGGAAGACCCTCGCATTAGCAGCTCCATCCGGCGCGTTCTCCGCGTGCTGGCGGAGCGACCCAGTCTGTTTCACAGTTGTCTGGATTTCTTCGCTGAGGCTCGGGATTATGTTCTCTCTGATGCCTTCCACTATGCTCTTACGGATGCAGTTGCCGGGGGTGGCGCTGACCGCCAAGTGAAGCCGATCGAGTTTTCTGCCCACGATCCTCTGCGCTACATTGGAGATATGCTGGCTTGGGTGCACTCAACCACCGTTTCGGAGCGGGAGGCCCTGGAATCCTTATTTGTTGACGACGGCGAGGAGCTCGCCAAGGGCATCCAGGCCGGTCTAAGTAGTGAGCCGTGGTCACGCATCGACGAAGACCAAGAAGTCACCTTCGACGGACAGAAAGCCCTCAGCGATCTCGTCAATCGTGACCTGGTCGGCGTCTCACGGGCCCTTCGCCAGCGAGTCGAATTGGTCATCCAAGGCCACGATGACCCCGTTACATGCTACAAGGTGGTCAATCTCCTCTCCTTCTACCGAACCACCTTTGCTAAGCTCCTTGGCTCCCAATCCAATCTGGCCGAGCTCCTCGAAACCTTGGAGAGATTCACCTTCCGCCATTTCGAAACCCTCATGCAGGAGGAAGTCGGCAGTCTTTCGACCGACCACTCGGCCCTCGCCCCGCCAGACGATCTCTCGCCACCGCAATTCATCCAAGACGCCCTTGAATCGCTCACCCTTCTTATGAAATCGCACGACATCTCCTTCGGCGCAGAGGAACTACCCTCCTTCCCCTCCGACAACAACAGCAACAGCACCCAAGACCGCCCGCCCAACAGATTCACTCCAGTTCTCCGCTGTGCCTTGGACCCGTTCCTCGACCTCGCCAAGTCCACAGCCCAGGAACTCCCTCCCACCCCACGAACCATCTACCTCACGAACATCCACCTCGCCATCCGCGCAGCCCTCACCCCGTACCCCTTCGCCAGCGCCACCCACCTCCCACCCCTCAGCGCGACCCTCTCCGCCCTGCGCATGGATCTCCTCGCCATCCAACACAACTACCTCCTCACCGAATCCGGCCTCCAGACTCTCCTCACAGCCCTGGAGCCCTTCTCTCCTCCGTCCGCCACCCAAACCACCGACCCACCCAACCAACAAGCCCAACAAGCCCAACAGCAGCAGCAGCAGCCCCAACTCTCTGATATCGCCCAGATCACGAGCCTGCCCGCCTTCCAGCCCGACGCCCTCATCCTCACCAGCCAGCAGCTCGACGATTTCCTGCCGTCGGCGCTCATGGACGCTACGGATCATCTGAAGCGGGTGCAGAGCGCGACGTGCGTGAAGAGCGTGACCGAGGAGGCGGTCGAGGCGTTCTGTCGGGACTTCGAGTTCGTCGAAGGGATGATCATCGGGGCGGATGAGGCGCGGAGGAGCTCGTTGGCCAAAGGTGGTGATGGGGATGAAGGTGTGAATGGGGCGGAGGAGAAGGGTGCAGACGAAGATGGTGAAGAAGACGGGGAGGACGAGAAGGAATGGGGGCTGAGGAAGTTGTTCCCGCGGACGACGGGCGAGATCCGGGTTTTGCTGAGCTAGGAGATACTGGAGAGGCAATGTGTGCGCGGTGTGTAATGTATATATGTGTCGATGTACTCACTCTCTGGTCTGATTTGTTGCAAGCGTAAATAGACATATACGTTTGTTGATGCGAGTACTAGTATTGTTCTCTCGGCAAGAGGACCCCCAACTTAGATAGAAGATATCTCAAGCCCATTTCCACCCAAGTTCCCCACCATATTCGTCCCCTTCAAAAGCCCTAACCCTGTCTCACCATGATCCCATACGGATCCCGATCCTTCTCACTAACCGCCACCTCGCACGAGCCATCGGCAAACACCTCCTTCCACTCCTCCTCCGCATCCTTCTGCTGCTGCAGCCCTTCCTCCCTCTGCACCCGCCAGTTCGCCTCCACCTCCTTGGCCAACTTCTCCCGCATCACGGCCCGCAGGTACCCGCGCTCGGTGTTCGAGTGCGCCAGCGCCACGACCACGGACCCGCGCTCGATGGCCGCCAGCGCCTCGTGGTGACTCAGCTCGCCCGTGAACAGCAGATCGGGGATCGGGGACTTCTTCATCAACACGCCCGACCCGGAGCCGGGGCACACGCCCACCGTGCGGATTTGCAGGGTATCCACCGAGGCGCCCTGCGGGATGGCGATGGGGATCCCGCCGGGGAACCCGACGCCCTGGGCGATGCGGTCGATGATGGCGGTCAGCGGTTCCGGGTCCGAGAAGGTCACGATGCGGCCCATGCCGGCGGTGTCCTCGATGCCCTCGGGGAGGGGGGCCGGGGACGGGAGGATGGTGTGGCGGGTGTGCTTGGGGACTTTGGTGGCCGGAGAGGCCGGTTGTGGGGCGGGGTAGATTGGATGGGAGTACGTGGCGGAGGAGGACTGCGTGAGGGTGGGTTTGGTCGGCGTGGTGGGCGTGAGGGCGCCGGTGACGATGTCGCATAGCCAATCGGCCATGCCGCCGGGGGTCGCGTCGATCGCCGTGTGCGGGGAGTACACGCTGATGCCTTCGGAGGCTAGGCGGAGGAGGGTCTGTTGTTGCGGGTCGCTAAAGGTGAGAGATTTGAGGCCGCGGAAGATGATCGGGTCTGTATGCGCGATAAGGGAAGGGGGTGGGTCAGTTGAGGTGGAAGAGTTTCCAGGCACGGACACGGGGAAGCTTACGGTAGGCTACGACGATGGAGTCGCGGCGTGCGATGGCCTCGTCGGCGACAGCTTTGGTGAGGTCAATTGCGAGAAGAACGGAGTTTTTCTGGCGGCGCGATGCGTGGAAGGGGGCCTCGAGGAGTACTGCGCCATTGGCTCTGTTAGTGGATGGCGGAGGCGTGGGGATGAGGTTGATGGAGGGAGCTCACGGCCGGTGTTGTCCCAGCTTTTGTCGGCCAATGACTCAGGGTAGCTATGGGAGGAAGGATTGGTGTCAGATAACGGAGGGTGCACCCGAGAGAAGATCACATACAGCTTCCTCATGGAGCTCACGACAGCCTGGGTGAACGGCGATGAGGCGGGGTTCAAAGAAGCAGCCATTGTGGAATAAAGACGAGACGACGATCGCCGAAACAGAGAGTTCATAGACACTGTGTGAGTCGAAGCAAGTATGGGACGTTCCGGTGCGTGTTGCTTCTTGATATGAACTGAATTGAGCTTGTTCACTATTTTTTTTCCTTTTGTTCTAGATCAATGAAGCTAGAGGAGTTAAGAGGAAGATCAATCTCGCAAGAAGCCGAGGATGAGCTGGCGCCACAACCGCACAGACGCAAGCTAACCCCGAATGCATACTAGTTTCCCACACCAGCCACAGCCGGGTTTCGCTGACCAATATCGCAGTGCAGAGAAGAAGGTCTCAGTGGAGGTTCCGTCATCCTACATCGGAAGAAGCATCACCGCCCGCGCGAAGTTTACCGCCAACAAAAAAGCCCAACTGCATCATTTCATCCCATCGCAACACATCATAGTCTCTAAGGGGCACTTTCTTTTTACCTAATAACAACCACCACAACAACAGCCTCCCTCTTTCTCGACTCTCTCCCCTCTCCCCTCTCCCTTCTCCCCTCTTCCCCTCCTTCACACAGCACTACTTGATGTACTCCCGCACCACCTTCTCCTCGCTGAGCAGAAGTTGCCGCTATCTTCTCCGCACTCCGGGCCTCCCTCCGAAGTCGACTTTTTCCCTCTCCGCGCGCTCATTCTCCGCCGTCCACGCAGCCATGGCCGACGCGACCTCCGGTGTCACCGCCGACTTGCTGAAGAGCAAGCTCTTTGATCAGCTCCAGGCGCAACACGTGGAGATTGAAGATCTGTCGGGTATGTCCTCTTGTTGAACCACCCCCGGTTTCAATCGTTGCTGATTAAATTCTGCTGCGTTCCCCGCGTGCGGGATTCTTGTGCTATGCTTCTCGGATTGATGATGGATCTCGAATTATTAACGAACTTTTGTTCTCTTCGATTATAGGTGGCTGTGGCCAGGCTTTCCAGGCGGTCATTGTCTCTCCCCAGTTCGATAAGAAAACCATGCTCGCCCGTCACCGCTTGGTCAACTCGGTCCTCAAGGCCGAGATCGCTGCTATCCATGCTTGGACACCCAAGTGCTACACCCCCGAGCAGTGGCAGGCTCTGCACCAGGGCTGAGAGAGGCCTTTGTCCTGTTTTGAGACTTTTGGGTTGCAGCCGAGACTACGGGCATCTTCGGCGATGGAAGGTATATTCCGGGTATCCATCAACCCGTACAAGGGGTAGAATCTTGTACACGGCTATAATCTGTGGGCGTTGGAGAGGGGTGTTCCATGTGCGAGGCTTTGCACACTGCCGGCCATGTCTAAAGGTCTGCTATGGTTGCGAGAAGGAATCTATCATGAGTAAATATTACACGGTTGTCCGCTTGTATAACAGATTTCTATAGTTACAGAATAGATTGCCCGCGTCACGCCGTTCGGCTCGCTTAGCCCAGCACCTTCTCAGCCGCGGAGACTGTGTATAACACATCAGTAAATGAAGAGTATTGCGTGTGGAAATCTGTAATGTAGACATACCGTTGACACCAATGTTGTCGGGCTCCACGAAGGCCTCCTTGACCTTGCCGTTCTCGACAAGCAGCGCGTAGCGCTTGCTGCGGTTGTTTCCGAAGATGGAAGCGCTGTCGAAGGTAACATCAAGCGTGTCGGAGAACTTGCCAGTAGGGTCACCGAGGAACCGGACCTGACACTCAGATTTTAGTTGGCCTGTTTGACATGATGAGGAAAGATAGTGTGTGGACTTACGCCGCTCTTGCCAGAGGCATCAAGAGACTCGCCCCAAGCCTTGGTCCTGTGCGCGGAATTAGCTTACTATCCAACCCTCACCAAATTGCTAACTTACACAAAAGGATCATTGACGGCAACAACAAACACCTGGCCGGCCTCCTTCAGCTTGGGGTGGTTGATGTAACCAGGCACGTGGGTGCTGGAGCAAGCGGGGCCTACACAACACGACCGGTCAATATCGTTCCTCCGTTCCGACATGGTATATAGCTATGCTGCAGATGACTAGCTCTGAACTCAATTTGGGGATGAAGCCAGAGGAAGTCATGCGTGGCTAGCAGCAAAGTTCAGGCGCAAAACCGGGAATGACACATACTGAAAGCGGCGGGGACACCAATGATAACTCCCTTGCCCTTCAGCTCCTTGGCGAGGTTGACTTTGTTGCCGGGGGAGTTCTCGACCAGGACATCAAGGTCGGGAATGGCATCGCCCTTCTGAACAAACGCCGGGGCGGTGTTGTGGAACAGCGCCCTCTGGGACAGGACGCGAGGAACGCCAGCGGTCAAACGGCGAGCAGCGAACATTGTGGATTGACGAATTGACTGGATCGGTTGAATTGCGGGGAGGAGATTGCTTGGGTTTGATGTTTCAGAACTGCCCACTACCCTTGAACAGAGTTGAGGTACAAGGTACAAAGTTTGTCCAAAGGGGAGGGGGGAAGAGAGAGAAGATGGAGGAGAGAGAGGATGAAGGAATTGGAGGGAATTGTTCCTGAGAGTGAATGAACTGGGCAGCTCCCCAATCCCGCCGGGCGGAACATTATTATTTCGTCATGGCCGCTTCCGCCTGCAGCGCGCCCGGTCTCTACATAACTTATGCCATTGATCGAGGAGATGAACAACCAGCTTCGTCCTACTTAGTTACAGATCAATACAATCGATCCTTACATGACGGTCCAAAGTGTCGTCTGGGCACCCCGTGGTCGCGTTTCTCTTCTTTGTCTCCCGCGTCCCTGCATCCGTTGGTGGTTCTGCCGGTCGCCGCAATTCCTTTGTCGTCCGCCTATACTTTGTGGGCCATTACTTCACTACCTAGTTTGCCAAATCCACGCATTCATTCACATCCAATGGCAAGTGTCAATTACTACCGTATGTATTACATTTCTCGGCATCTTTCCCACCGTGAGCCATCTACCGCCTTTTCCTTATTCGTCCCTAGACCCACTGCGGAACTCGCGCCTTGACATCTCTAACCGCTTAAGCTCCTGTCACTTCCTGAGTCGCGGGCCCACTCCCCCGACCTACTCATACTCTTTAAAACACACTGCTACGACGCACGATTCGACATGCAATCCGCTAGCACATACAGCCCAGTACCATCGTGCTTATCCACGCGGTTGACTGTTCGAATCATGGCTGCAGGGAAGTGTAACGATTTCCTCACATCGGGGAATATAAGACTACCATGCCCTTGTGAACGAGGCATCTATCCCGTTTATCTTGACAAGTCCAAGCAAGTCAGCCAACATGATCTATGCAAAGAATGCAGTCATACACTTGAGATGCATGGTGATTTCGAGATTCCGTCCGAAGTTTCGCCGTCCGTCGGTGATCTAGTAGAGGGGAAAAAGCACGTTGGGACTACTGAAGTATCCAAAGGTTATATTCAAGCTTACTGCTCTCATACCCTAGCTAACATTGTGTCACGATCATAGTCGCGCCTAAGGTGCCGGATCCTAACGTCTGTCCTCGACAGGACACAGTTTCAGCATTTGCCAGCCTTATCAAATCCAATATAGTTACCCATGTTCGGGGCACTCCTGCGAGCGGAAAGACAACGCTTGCTCGCCTCCTTCGCGATCGTCTTATTGAGGATGGCTGGAACGTCTTTTTTATGGGCACATGGGGAGTATACCTTCATGAACTAGCTTCCAATGATTACGATCACGCTTGGGATGTGTTGGAGCTTAAGCTCAAGGGTCGCTACCCAAAGTTGAATCCAGCAGTTTTTTCCGCTCCAAACTCTCTGCTTCTTGTCGACGAGGCACAGGCGTCATACAAAGATGATATGTTCTGGGGCGAAATTATCAAGGAACAACTGCATGGTATTCAAAAGAGAGACATGCGAATTTGCCTCGTCTGTTCTTATGGGAGTCCAACCACCGGCGTCGAGCCTGGTTCCTTTACCCCAGCCGAATTTACCACGAGCCAACGCATTACCATCACTCCACAACCAATTCCAGGCTCCCCGCAATTTGGCCTTTTTTTCACCAGGCCCGAGTTTGAAGACGCTGTTTCACGAAGGGTCAAAAACCAGTATCACGACAATTTTACTCTACATGAGGAAGCCGGTGACTATATATTCTCTTTCACCAATGGACATCCCGGAGCTGTAGAAGGGATATTATCCTACATCTATCAAGTATGTTCTGTCCAATATCCATCTTGACAGTTATCTTGGGTCAAGTGTGAATTGAATTCTATGATTGATTTAGACTTCAGTGCTATCGCAGCCAGATCACACATGAGGAATTACCCGTGGTGACGAAACAGCATGTTATCTCCTGCTTGGAAGAAGAAGAAGAAGTTTGGACGTATCTCGGACGTTGCTCTATTTCTCGCTCTTTTCCGAAAGGCCCTAGACTGACACCTGAAGCTGCCAATGTCCTTGAAGATATTACGGAGCAAGGAAGCATTGAATGGGACAAGAAGAATAAAGGAATATGTCAATGTTTTGTGGAGGGCTGGATCCATAAGACCATCGTGCTTGATGCCACTGCCCCCCTTGGAAAAGAAGTGGTTGTTCTTCCGTCACGTCTGCACGAGAAGTAAGTTCTCGTTGTATATTGCCTCCTTTAGGAAAGCATTAACACAACTAGGTGGGTCGAACGAAACCTGGGCCATAAACCAGCCTCTCTGCCCTCAGAATTTGATACGCTTCAAGAACTTTGTATTCAGACACTCCGTCACTTTTCTGTCACGTCTTTACGAAAATCCTCTACGGGGAAGAAAATGTCCAGCGCAGCGAAATATAGGGCGGTGGAAGCTCAGTACCGAGACGAGTTCTATAAAGCGTTCAAATCGATCACAGGGCGGGCGGTTCCAATTTGCTCGGAGTGGTCCAGAACGCAGAATGGCAGAGTGGATTTCTACATACCCGAGAAGAAGTGGGCCATCGAGTTCCTCCGTGATCATAGGAAGATTGACGAGCATGTCTCGAGGTTCCATAAGGGAGGAGCGTACTATGGCTGGATACAGGACGGCATGATTCAAGAATGGATTGTCATTGACTGTGCGACTACTTTGCGTACCAAAGGTCAGTTCTATTCTCTCTGTCGCTTCATGTTGCTGATAGTTTACAGTCTACCCTGAGCCAAATCTCATCCATGCCATTTTCCTAGCAGATTACACAGAGTTACAAGTCTTTGGTCGGCGGAGGTTACCCTTACATAAAGCTCGCCTACAAAATTGATATGTAATTTGTGTCTGTCTGGTATTGGACTGACTGACTAGCTGTGACAGCGGCGATTTGTGAGAGTTATCGATCACGTTTATTGGCTCAAATGGGGTATTGCATGATTCTATCTGATCTTCGTCTTCGTCTTCGTCTTCGACTTCTCCCTCTCTGGCCCTGTCGGCTATCGAATCATTATTCAGCGAGGTTCGGCGAGGTATCGGCAGCCATTGCCGAATACCGTCAACCTCCCCTCACTGAATGGATCCCCGATCTTCATCTTTGTTTGACGATCATAATGGAGGTGGGTGAAATAAGAGACAGGAAAGACGGGCGAGGGACTGAACTACATACAAGTGATACTGTAGTCTATTTATTTACTGAGTAGGTGTGAATATTTCGCTCATTCTCATGGCTGATGCCATCGCATTCCTAGCTTCGAGCCTAACATACTCCGTACTGTCTGAGATTTCCCTCCCCCCTCTTCTCTTCCTCCAGACAGTAATCATTTGTCTTCGTCGGAGCCGAAACGAGACACCAGTCAAGGCAGTGCTGATTTCTGTCCAGGTGATCGTGGACGCACAGGTTAACGGCCCCTCCCATCGGCACCAGCCTATCTCCATGTCATCCCCACCCCATCCTGCCCATCCTTCCCATGCAGCTCGTCTGCAACCGTTCAGGCGCACTGACAGCTTCCAACCGGCTTTCCCGCCACAGTTGCTCGCCAAATCGCGCGCTTCAGGTATTTGTTTTTCTTTTTTCCCTTTCCCCTTCCTCTTCCCCTTCCAACCACGTTTCGTGATCTTCTCTCCCAATCCTGGTTTTTGTCATTTCTTCTGTCCAGTGACGTTGTTTAATCTGTTGAGAGAGTCCCAGTTGGGTTGGCCCATCTTGAGTTGTCCTTCGTTAGCTCCGAGGCTCTAAAATTTTAGTGAGGGTTAGAATTCTTGTCTACCCCTCCTATCTCCTTGCTTTGTGGGGGGGGGGGGGAAGGAATCCAAGCCATTTTGGGCATATCGAAGACTGGCAAATACGCAGGAGGGGGGAGGGAATTGAAAACAATGCGATGATCACAAAGACGTTATTTTATATATTATTTGGTATTGTCTGGGGTCGAGGATTCTGATGAAGGGGAGGAGTTTATATTAGTACAGTACTGTATGTACATTGTCAAGGAGATCAATAGTCGGAATGACTACCTGACCATCGGATGCTGTGGCTAGTGACCTACTAATGAGTTACTGCCTGTTACTCTTGGGGCAACCCACTTTCCAGGCTACTACAATGAACTACTACTACCAAAAGTCTACTGACGAGGTATATAACGCCAAATGGGTGAAACTGCACATCCAGCGGTCCAGCGGATAGTATAGATGATGCTGGTGATGATAATGATGATCTTTTCGAGTACCAAGACAAAGAAAAAAGAGATCGATAAATATTTCAATTGAAATAATTATTTTCCCCTTCTTAGACATCAAAAACACCTACTAGTTCTAGGTACGGTACACCTTCTACCTACCAAGCCAACGCGCCCGCCGCCGCCCGGCCAAATCAAGTCAATGGTTCAACCCCCAAAAAACAATCCCCCCCTCCTCCTCTCCTCCTCTTCCTCTTAAGACCTAAAGACTAGACTGACTGATTGACTGATTGATGGACTGCCAGTCTGCCAGTCTGCCACAACCACAACCCAGTCCCACCTTCAAACTAAAAACCCAGCGGATTAACTAATAGTAATTCATCTCCAGTCCCAATTCCTACCATCCCTTCAACTTACCTCCACCACACCACTTATCCATCTGTTGCGCCGCCGCCCATTCGGCCACTCGGACGGAGGGTCTCAAGTCGAGTCTCCAGTCCATGCTATTCTCTTTTTCCCCTTCTCTCTTGCCTTACCCACACCCACCACTCCCACCTTCCCCCCCTCCCCCATTCCTCTTTTTTTATTTTTTTCGCTTCTCCCTTTCTTCTTCTTCTTTCCTCTATCTTGATTGTGTCTTTCCTTTTTTTTTTTCTATTCCTTTTATTTATTTTTATTCTCGGCTCGTCGCCGATAGTTATATGCTCTTACTTCTTTGCGATCTTTGAATTGAGCGCCCGACTGGTTCCCTTTCCTTCCCGGTCGCTGCGACGTGTGTTGAGCCTGTTGCTTGTTCGATCGGTCGCGACCCATCTAGCCCATGATGGACGGTGGCCAGACCTCGACCAGCGCCGCCCCTGCCGGCAACTCCAGCGATTTTGTAAGTCTTCGTCGTGATCTTCGTGAAACCCATACGAAAGAACATCCATATTGTCGTATTGTCTTGCTATCTGTCTCAGTTGCTAACCATCATGCTCAGGTACGGAAACTCTACAAGTGAGTCTCCTCCGTTTGTCTTTTGTCACCCGTTCCTTGATCGTCGCTTTTCGCCTCTCATCCAACCCTGTCCTCCTCCCCGACGCCTCGCCCCCTCAGCTCTCTATCCCACCTCTGCACTAAATCTCAGTGTCGACGATCATTTATCTCACTTTTAATATGGAAATACTGACGGTTTCTAAAGGATGCTGGAGGATCCGTCCTATGCGGAAATTGTGCGATGGGGTGATGAAGGGGACAGCTTCGTCGTCTTGGAGGTAGGTACCGTGCTTCGCACCTCCCGACCTCTCCTGCGATCGCAAACCTTTTGATTGACTGGCTTCATCTTCTTAGTGTGAGAAATTCACAAAGACCATTCTGCCGAAGCACTTCAAACACAGCAACTTTGCCAGTTTCGTGCGACAACTCAACAAGTACGATTTCCACAAAGTGAGGCAGAACAACGAGGAGAATGGACAGTCACCTTATGGGCAAAACGTAAGTGTGCAGCGATGCGCAGCGGAAGCTAGTCTTATCCTGACCAGACTTGCAGGCGTGGGAATTCAAGCATCCCGAGTTCAGAGCCAACAGCAAGGAGTCGCTCGACAACATCCGCCGGAAGGCTCCCGCCCCGCGCAAACAAACCCAGACCACCGACGACTCGGTCCCTACCCAACAGATCGATCTCTTAAACCAGCAGATCGTGGCACAGCAACAACAGATCCAGCACTTGTCAGACCGCTATGCGCAACTGACTGTCGATCATCAGTTGATGTTGCAGGAAGTGATGCGAGTTCAGAAAACGGTTCTCAACCATGAAAGTGTCATTCACCAGGTCATGAACTACCTACTCTCCGTCGACGCCCGCCAACGGCGGGACAGCAAGGCGGCTGCGTCTTTTCAGGCCCAGGGTCAAGCAGGCTCGACCCTCAGCCCTTCCCAGGTGGCTACGATGGACGATGAGCCTTCCTCGCCCTTGCAACAGGCCACTAAACTTTTGAACGATATGAATGCGGAGATTCAATTCAACCTTGTCGGTCTCGATGGGGTTGCCGATCCGTCCAAGGCTGCCGGGGCGGTCGTATCTGCCCCTGGCATGGATGGCGTGTCACGCAATGGTGTGGTGCGCGCACCTGCTGCAGCAGCAAACCCAGCATTGGTGTACTCGAAGATGAACGGAGATGTTGAGCCGGTGGTTTACCCCGTTGGTGCGACCAATGGCATTGATCCCATGTACGGCGAGCATGTCAAAAATGTTCCCTACCCAATGCCGAAACAAGAGGTCGACGACTCTCGGAGGCAGCAAGTTCAGCAGGTCCAACAGGTCCAGCAAGTCCAGCAAGTACAGCAGGTTCAACAAGTCCCCGACAACCGCAAGAAGAGCGCAAATGTCGATCCTGGTTGGGCTCGCAGCCCCCGTATCTTGCTGGTGGAAGACGATCAGACATGTCGTCAGATCGGTGGAAAATTCTTATACTCATTCTCTTGCATCATCGATACCGCGGTATGCTTCTCGCAAATCATTCTTCTCGCGTTTATTGCTGACATGGCTCCCAGCTCGATGGATTAGAGGCCGTGACGAAAGCTCAGGCCAACCCTGGATATGATTTGATTCTCATGGATATCATTATGCCTAACCTGGATGGTGTCTCCGCCACGCATCTTATTCGCCAGTTTGATAGGACTCCTATCATAGCTATGACCTCCAATATCAGGAGTGACGATATCCAGCTCTACTTCCAGCATGGTACGTCATTTCTCTCGATCTTCCGCTCTCCACAAGCTACCACAGTAGACTGACATGGAACAGGTATGGACGATGTCCTTCCGAAACCTTTCACGCGAAAGAGTCTTCTCGATATGCTTGAGAAGCACTTGTCCCATTTGAAGGTCGCATCGCAGAATATAGAAGCTCCTCAGTCAGCCGTTCCTGTCACAATGGCTGCTCAGAGCTCCGCCGCCCATTCGATCAAAGAGGATAGCTCCCCAGGCCAGTCACCGGCAACATCGGTGAACAACTGGCAGTCACCGGGCCAATACCCAGGCATGGCCGCTGTACCTCATAGCATGCAGCCTGTCCCGAGTCAGTATGTTCCCGCGACCCCGGGTCCCGCTGCATACGCCGTTGATCAGAACGGCGTTCAATATACCACCCCCACTGTGGCCCTTGCCCCAGCAGCACCCGCTGCTCGGCCACAGGTTCGTCGGCAACTTTCAGAAATGTCTAGTGCGGGTGAAAACCCGGGCATGGCCAAGAGGCCGCGGATGTACGCACATCCAAGTCAGCCTATTGTCAGTTCCATGCAGGCCACACGAACTGGCTAGCTGGCATGCGGCTATCTTTGTATTACTCCCCACCACCCACACCTCCCCTTTCACAATAGCGATCGATGACCCTAGATTTGATTCATCTACCTCCTCTTCATGTCTCCGCTCGTTGAACGTCCCATCCTCGGGCCCTCGATTCCATGAGTTTCCGTAACCCTTTTGCGATGGTTATTGAACCATACCTTGCTGTGTTCAGGAGTTGTGCTACATTTTTGTTCTGTTTGGAATTATACGATATATCACGGTGTCGGGGCGCGTCATAATATTTGCATTTGATTTGGGGACCCGCCTGCGGCAAAGCTGGTCAGTTGTTATTCGTATAGAGTGACTGGGCTAGTTCTGAAGGTCTCTGTTTTCTGGCATCCAGATTTCGTGGTCCGTGAAGGCCCACGTGCTGGCAGCATTACTATCATCTTTTTGTACGTATTATCAGTTTTGTGGATCGTTGAGGCGCTGGCATTCGTGTAACCTCATTGTGAGGGTTTAAGGCAACTTCTCCTAAGTCTTTGTTATCTTATCGAAGTTGCAGAAAAGCTTCTTCAAGAAGATTTGTGATTCACGATACATACAACAGCTTTCCTATGCATCAATACCATCGACTTTTTTTCCTCCGTAAAACAATCAATGTTCTAAGTTCTCGAAGCCATGAAATGTTGGTTCAGTTATGAACGTACAGCACACGTAAGCTACCAAAAGGGACACGCCTACAGTACCGTGGACACCACTTTTAGACTCATTTAGCCCTCAGAGGGGCAGATCTGATCTTCGCCCACCGCAACCCAAGCATTCAGCGGCCCCCCGATCGAGCGTTCATCAGCTAAACTAATGACAGCTTGAGTTCTGGACCCACGGTTCCTGAACAAGGGGGGATTCCTTCGAGTCCAGGAGGGCCCAGACCATGGATGACGTTCTGGACTCGACGACTGCGCAACTGCGGTTAGCAGCTGTGGCTGAGGGCTCCCCGATCACATGATCCATAGTCTCACGTGACTACAGACGGGCAGCAACGAGGGTAGGCAAACAAAGCAAACAAAGCAAACAAGTCGCAAGGTGGGATGAAGTTCTGACTCCGACGGAGGGACAAAGGCTTGGCGGAGATTTTGCGACTTTCGGTCCCAACGCGGTTGGCACTTTGCGTCGGCATCATCTTCGAACTTACGAACTTTCTCTCAGCTCCGGAGAGACTTTAACTCGCTTGGGTGAAGCTGGGCAGTGTTAAAACCACCACTGTGCCATAAGAAAAAGCCTTAGATTCTACTTCTGAAACTATCCGATGTGAGTTTGTGTGTGCTGCTTTGTGTCCGCTGGCTCAATCTCTCCTTCCGAGCCGCGAAATGATCCATGCTGAGATACGTCTACTTTAGATGGGCCCGAAGAAAGGCGGCGCGCCGAAGCCGAGGGGAAATGCCGCGGAGACGGTAGAGGAGACGCTCCAGGCGGTGGTATGTTTCGGGTTCCATGAAAGCGTTATCCATGAGGAGATCATCCCGGCCGCCGGCCGGGCATCGAAGCTGAACTTGGCTGATCATTCTTCTGGTGGTTTGTGATTTAGGTGCTTGCAGATACCTTCGAGACGAGATTTGAGCCGTTTACTCTGGAAAGACCTCGGGTACGTTGTGTGCTGTGTTTGGAAAGTTTGGCGGGGAGGGGGAGGATGGAATAATGCATATACGTGAACTAACACACGTGGGGGGAGGATCTAGTGTCTCTTGACGCTCGCGAACACGCCTCTCATCGAATATACTCTTGAGTTCCTTGCCAATGCGGGTGTCGAGGATGTCTTCCTCTACGGTGGTGCGCATTCGGATCAGCTGGAGAGATATATCAAGTACGTGGATCGATTTCCGGGGAAGGCTGGCGCACGCTCACGCGCATGTTGGGATTGATGCTGTGAGGCTGACAAAGTGACGTGGATAGTGCGTCGAAATGGAGAGCGCCCTCGTCGCCCTTCAAGCAGCTGACGTTCCTCAAGTCGACGTCAACCTCAGTCGGAGATGTCATGCGTGATCTGGATGGCAAGCACCTCATCACCGGAGATTTCATCGTTGTCAGCGGCGATGTCATCAGCAACCTGCCGATCGAAGGCGCCTTGGCCAAGCACCGTGCTCGCCGTGAAGCCGACAAGAATGCGATCATGACTATGATCCTGCGCGAAGCCGGCCGCAACCACAGAACCAAGGCCTCTTCCGTGTCCCCCGTCTTTGTGATCGACCCGACCAAGGACCGTTGTCTGCACTACGAGGAGATCGACCAACACAACCCCGATTCCACGCGCCTGAACATCGAGCCTGAGATCATCACTTCACACCAGGAAATCGACTTGCGCCAGGACCTGATCGACTGCAACATCGATATTTGCACGCCCGATGTGCTGAGTCTCTGGTCCGACAGCTTCGATTACCAGGCGCCGCGCAAGCAGTTCTTGTTCGGTGTGTTGAAAGACTACGAGCTGAACGGCAAGACGATTCACACCCACATCATCAAGGACCACTATGCGGCGCGGGTGAGGAACCTGAAGGCGTACGATGCCATTAGCAAGGATATCATCTCCCGATGGACGTATCCTCTTTGCCCCGACACCAACCTGCTTCCCGGACACAACTACGAGCTCCGCAAGGGAAGCCTCTACCAGGAACAGGGCGTGACTCTGGCCCGCTCGTGTGTCATCGGCCGCCGAACGGTTATCGGTCAGGGAACGAGTATTGGGGACAAGACGACGGTTAAGGATACAGTTCTCGGCCGGGACTGCAAGATTGGCAAGAACGTCACTTTGGAAGGTGCCTACATCTGGGACGGTGCTGTTATCGGTGACGGAACGACAGTCAGACAAGCCATCGTTGCCGACCGGGCAGTCGTTGGAAAGAACTGTACTGTCGAGCCTGGTGCTCTCATTTCTTTCGGCGTGGAAATTGCCGACGGGGTCAAGGTCACCGAGGGACTCCGCATCACGAAAGCACCCAGAGACGAGGACGATGGTGTACCCACAAGCGAGCCTGAGATTGTTGGTGAACGGGGTACGGGTTACGAATATGTTCCATACGAAGACGAGGATGAGGATGACACAGTCAGTAACGCCTCGTCAGGATTGAGTAAGTACTTTCCCCACACTTGATTGAGAACATTGGCCGCTAACCGCACACCTGCAGTCTACAATATGGCACATCTCTCGCTCTCCACCGACTCCATCTCCACACTTTCATCAGAGATCTCCGACTTTGGCGGCTCCCGCTCTGGAAGCTTTAGTACTACGATGTCTGATGATGAGGATTCGGACCACTTCGTACATGATGCTGCGGCCAGCGTCTACGACAGTTTGCGGGAGGGCGTCACGTCGGACGTGGTTCAGCTGGAACTGGTCAGTCTGCGCATGACGGCCAATGCCTCGGACCACCAGGTTCGCCGCGCCGTGGTCTCCGCATTCATGAAGCGGGTCGCGCAGTTGATGGAAGGTGGGAAGGGTGCCGGAGAGGCGGTCCGAGAGATCTTCGGCAAGTACCGGGAAATCGTCGAGCGGGCCTTGTTTGACCGCGAGCGTGACGACAAGCCCGACCAGGTTGACCTGCTTGTCCTCCTTCAGCAAGACCTGGTGCACCGTAGCCGTGGCGATACGGTTCTCTTGTTCATTGCTAAGGAATTGTACGACTTGGAGATTATCGACGAGGAGGCCTATGAGCAATGGTGGGACGATGAGCGCTCGAGCAGCACCGAGGAGATGCGACAAGTGCGCAGCCAGGCACAGCAGTTTGTTGACTGGTTGGCCAATGCCGAGGAAGAGGAGAGCAGCGAAGAGGAAGAGAGCGAGGAAGAGGAGGAAGATGATGAATGAATGACTTAGAGTGTGGCATATAGACTGCTTCTAAAATTCAACCTACGATCATGATCGAATGTTGGGCAACAATGATATACCTTTCGGTGCCTGGGTGCCTGGGTGCCTGTGTGCCTGAGATACCAGGCTACAAATATGGCGGTCAGGTGCTGCATTGGGAGTATTATAGTAATAGGATACGCTTCATTCTCGTGGATAATAGGTGTCTAGCTGAGGTTATTCCACTTGCGACATGTCCAACTCGAAAACCCACCCACCAGCCCTGGTCAAAATTGATCTGCCAGGGGGTGTAGGTGGTACGGGGTCAGTAACTAACTAGGCTGAATGGCTCTGCAGCCTGCATCCGTCCCCACTTTGGAGCCTCAAAGGTGACATATAAAATCCCTTTTTGATGTCAGCTGTGCTCTCTCTCCTTTCTCCTGACCTGGTTTGGAGCCGGCAGACTTTTGCACCCTGAGGGGACAAAATTATTGTTGCATGATTTGATGTTTATCAGACTAAGTCTGAAGAGGACCGAAGAGTTGTGTTGCTTCCAAATTGTCGTGAGCGGTAGAGAGAGCAAGTCAAGGCGGTCGGGCCAAGTGATCTCCCCCCACATCATCTCATTCTCTCCCCTCCCTCCCTCCCTCTCTCTCTCTCTCTCCCGTGACGTCCATCCGCTCTCTTAGTGACACCCACTCATCCACTCACCCACCCTGACTACCACTACCCACTACCACTACCACATCCACATCCATCTTCTTCTTCCTTTCTTCCCTTTCCTCCACCTCTCTTCAGATTGATAATCTCAAGCTACCCATCAATCATATTGAGAACTAGTCCTGCACGATTCCCCTTTCCTATCCATCCGATCCCATCCCTCGGATCTCGGGAAAATTACCTCACCCTGATTCCTTGGTAGGCTGTGACTGTGTTGCCCCGGTAAAAAAGAAGGTCTCGACCAACCATCTCGAGACCGACTTTTTTCTCGTGTCAACACATACCCCGGCTTGCCAACGGACTCTGCCCACAGCTATTCACCACGCCTCCCCTCACGAGAAAGAGAAAGGCGGCCGAGGCGACGCTTGTAGACAACGCGACCACAGCAGCAGCGACAGCCGCCGCCACCACCTCCACCTCCGATACCAACGTCGCCTTCGCGCCCGCCGCCACCGCACCCTGCTCTTCTGACAAATCTACCCGGAAAAAGCTCAAGTCGACCGACCGGGACCCCGACACTGAATCCCTTGCTGCGATCTCCACCGGTCTCTCGGATTTCGTGGAGGAGGAGAAGAAGAAGAAGGCGACCGATCTCGTTACCCCTGCGTCGACCAGCATGGAGTCCGACGAGGATTTCATGAGCGTTGGTTCCAGTCCCGATGACTTTCTGGACACCCAAGGCAGTGATATCGAGAGTCTGGGCGACGGTACGTGATGATTGCTCATTTCTCCTACACTCGCCCTGCCTTGTGCGTCGATCGTGACACTGACCCACGTTGTTCCTGGAGAAATAGACTTCGGTGACGAATTTGACGGCGGGTTCTCCAAAGACAAGGATATCATCGCGACGAAACGGAAGCCGTACGAGGTAGAGTTCAAAGTCTTGAGTCCGGACGACATCGAGCGGCAACAGAATGTGCAGATCAACGAGGTCTCCTCGATTCTCGGCCTGCCCCCGGAGTCGTCGGCCATCCTGCTGCGGTACGGACGGTGGAAACGCGAGAAGTTGATCGAATCGTATATGGATCATCCGGAAGAGACCCTGGAGGAGGCGGGTCTGGGGACTAACTTTGAGGGAACGCCGCAGACCGAGGTGGTATCCGGGTTCATGTGTGAGATTTGCTGCGAGGATGGCGACGAGCTCGAGACGTATGCTATGCGCTGCGGGCACCGCTTCTGCGTTGACTGCTATCGCCACTACCTGGCCCAGAAGATTCGCGGGGAGGGTGAGGCAGCGCGGATCGAATGTCCCGGCAATGACTGTCACATGATTGTGGACTCGAAATCATTAGGACTGCTTGTGACGGATGATCTGCGGGAAAGGTAAGATGGACTCGATGTGCGGGGGAATGTCGCTCACATTGCTAATGTCTTCATACAGATACAAAGCTCTCCTTATGCGGACGTACGTCGACGACAAAGATAATCTCAAATGGTGCCCTGCACCGGAATGTGTATATGCGATAGATTGTCCTATCAAACAACGCGACCTGCGGCGCATTGTGCCCACAGTCCAGTGTGACTGTAGGCACTACTTCTGTTTTGGATGTACACTCAACGACCATCAGCCTGCACCATGCACGCTGGTCAAGATGTGGCTGAAGAAGTGCGAGGATGATTCCGAGACAGCAAACTGGATCTCCGCCAACACGAAAGAGTGCCCGAGATGCCATTCAACGATCGAGAAGAACGGTGGCTGCAACCACATGACGTGTCGAAAGTGTAAGCATGAGTTTTGCTGGATGTGCATGGGACTGTGGTCGGAGCATGGCACCAGCTGGTACAACTGCAATCGATACGAGGAGAAGTCCGGGTCCGAGGCCCGCACTGCGCAGGCGCGATCTCGGGAGTCGCTGGAGCGGTACCTCCACTATTACAACCGATATGCCAACCACGAGCAGTCGGCCAAGTTGGATAAGGACCTGTACCTGAAGACGGAGAAGAAAATGACCAGTCTTCAGTCGCAATCCGGTCTCTCGTGGATCGAAGTCCAGTTCTTGGACACCGCATCGCAGGCACTGCAACAATGCCGACAGACCCTGAAGTGGACGTATGCATTCGCCTATTACCTCGCGCGCAACAACCTGACCGAGATCTTCGAGGACAACCAGAAGGATCTAGAGATGGCCGTGGAGAGTCTGAGTGAAATGTTCGAGAAACCGGTACCAGAGCTCGCAAAACTGAAGGTCGATATTTTGGACAAAACGGCTTACTGTAACAAACGGCGGGTGATTCTGCTTAGTGACACAGCAGAGAATCTGAAAAATGGTATGCTCTTCTCTCTCTTTGTTTCTTCATCACATGGGGCGAACAGCTTACTGATTTCTACTCAACAGGAGAATGGTCATTTAATGTGGATTGGTAGAGAACAGACATACTCAACTTCTTCCCCCCCCGCCCCTCTTCCCGTTCAACTAGAAGCAAGCATAAGAAATCACGACGTGCATGACAAATAACCAGCGCATATGGATTTTTTTCTCCCTTCATCATCGACACTTATATTTATCTCTTGTTTATCTCAGACAGGCGCACCCCCCGATTGTTCCTTACTGTATGTATCTCTACACATGACTACCTACAGGGCGAGACCATTTTCTCCGTGCGTGTTTTTACACTCATCTTCTTTATGTATGTGATACTGGCCGTCGCATTTTGTTATTACAGTCTGTCTATCATTTTTATTTTTCGCGAGCCGATATGGTTGCGAGGAAGCTATATTTATATTCTGATTTACTGGCGACCTCTCTTCTCAGCATGTGTATTTCTTGAAACTGTTTTCCATGGGAAAGAGGTATTGAACATGCTGCGTCTCGGAACTTGTTCGGTTAGCTGGAATGAAAGACAGCTAGGGATACATGTTTGGCCCGGGTACTGAATAAACTCAGGTTGGAACAAAGCTCTTGTGTTTCATTGCACATCTCATTCTCTCTCTTGTAGTGGCAACAAGTACAGAAGAACAGTTGGTAACTTTAGTCCATGAAGTCGGAAGTAAATAGCTCACCCACAGAAAGCGGGACGGGGAGGAAAGAACAGGAACTAACCACCTAAGTCAACTAGACTAGACTAGTAGACTAGTAGACTAAACAGTATAAGTCAAGTGCTTCATGTGCCGTGTTTCTATCTCCTCGGAACTTTTCAATCCTTATGGGTCCTGACTCTCCTTTTTTTTTTTTTTTGGTACATTTGTACGGAGATTTGGTTTAGGTAATAATCGATCCAGGATTTTATTCTTCCATTTCGCTTCTGGAATAGAATGTCCCACTTTTTTTTTTTCGTTTCTGATTGATCTTAGATTATGGATGGAGTATGTACGAGAAGGAGGTGATGAGGATGGAATTGATCGGGGATCAGTTACTCGGATTTTTTTTCTTGTTGGCTTTGTTTACAAGGCCCCTTTTTCTTATCTCTCCCATATTTCCTTCGAGGGTTTCTATAGTAGGCTTACTGAGTGGCTGTGGAAACTATAGGGGTTGACTTTGAGTTGTCGTCTGGTGTTGGGAGGGTATACATACTCATTTGTCTTGCACTGTACGGACTACGGAGTACGGAGTACATACAAGGAAGAGGATCTCCCAAATCTCAATCAGATAAGACAGCGAGACAGCCAGAGGAACCCGGGATCAAGGTTCCCGTTCTTTTTTTTTTTTTTTTTTTTTGGCACTTTTCGGATCATCGGGGACGCCTAGTCCCGAGAGGGAAAAAAGCCAACTGGTGGCCGGTGGAACCCACGGATCCCGCTTGATGCTGTCGGGTCACGGATCGCCAATGAACGATTCCTCCGCGGTTCGGCGGTTGGATTAGACTGCACACTAACCAGCTACATTATCGGTCATGAGGCAGCAGAGTCTGTTAGTACTGTACAGTACAATGGAATTGGGAAGGTGGTGGGTGTTGGAGGGTGACATGTCAGATCAGCGACTGCTGTGACTCTGAAGAGGCAGGCTCGGTTTTGTTGGTCCTGAGAGAAAAGTAACAGAATATGACCATTCATGACAGACAGACATGTGGGCGTTGAGGGAGAAGCTCCGTCATCGGACTGGAGAATGAGATGCCTCGGTGAAAGATTGATTGCCTAAGCTTGGGAGGCTAGCCTGTTCTAGGTCGGGGGAGCTGATTCAGCGATACCGACCGGGGAGAGGGAGAAGAATACCGAGCGAAAATCAGTACTGTTGCGATGAACGAAAGAAGAGATACAAGGGGAGTAAAAAAATTGCATCGGAAGGACAATGTATCTATTCTGATGATGCTGTACTTACATTGGACTATCTAAAGCACGGTTGTAGTAGGAATAGAGTCGACTAATTGTAGCCATATCCATCCATCTACTCACTTATCTGATATGATCATCTCGAGGGACAATCAGAAATAACATGGCCACTGTAATAACCAAAGGATCAAGCTTGTAGGAAGCAGATTAGCATAAAAGTACCTACTCCGTAAACACTGCATGAATCAGAATGGGTTCCCAAATCAGTTTGGCTCACTGCCGGACTCTCTCCTTCAGATCCTGACCGTACCATTACCGGACATTCCGCTTTCATACCTCGTCGTAGCTCCCAGTTGGCCCCAGTCTAGCCTGGAAGGGTCAGGTACCATACCGTCAGAATGGTAACCGGTCGGTACGGAATACTTGCTGCTGCTATCGACCTGCAGGCGGACTTTTTTAGTTGACCATCCCAGAATTATCAGCATTTCTTCTTTTTCCTGCCTCTCTCCACCTCTCCCCTCATCTTCCCTACCGCATTGATTCTTCCCCGTAGTACTTACTCGGGTTGAGGCTGGTCTCATTACTATCTCCTTGTTCTCCTCCCTCTTCTGCATCTCCTTACATTTCCTCGAGAAACGCCCTCTCCTTCCCCCTACCGGTATACCCACTTCCCAGTCCCCTCCGCCCGGATCGGCCTTCCCTCTCCGCTCCGCAAAGTCCGTTTTTCTGCGTCGGCATTTTCGGGCCTCCAGCTTTGAGACCAACTCTCCTCGATCCCCTCGGAGCTCCCTTCGCCTTTCCTTCTCCCACGTATCTCGTCGCACCGTAGCCCTCGCTACGCCCAGAATCCTCAAGAGCTCAATGGCGGTCCCCGAACAGATCCCCGGGCAAGAATATGAGTATGTGGCTCCTGTCCGCTCGCCCAGTCCACATTTCCTGCCTTGGTCGGCAATGGCCTCCACCATCCGTGGACTCAGAACACCTCTGCGGAGGGGGACACTCTAGGTCGCAAATTCCTCTATGCTCCGTACTTGGAACTGCGCGGCCTTGCTATGAATTGCCGGAGACCAGGAAATATCGGCACACCTTTTTCTTTTCTTGTTGGAATGACCACCCGCTAACCGCAGCCTGATGATGACACAGCTATGAAGCCCTCCCCTCCAACTACGGCTTAGGCGCCAATATGTTGGCTGGCGCCTTCGCAGGAATCGCAGTACGTGCTAGGATAAGAACTTTATCTTCGACATGACTGGGGTGTGCTGACCATGGTCATTTTTAGGAACACTCTGTCATGTATCCGGTAGACTTGTTGAAGGTATGTGGCTCATGCGAATTGTGGCACCCAATGCGACCTTGTAGAAGCAGTGCGCGAGAGAACTAATACCTTGATAGACTCGCATGCAAATCTTGCATCCTACGACTGGAGGGCTCTACACAGGCTTGACTAATGCGGTTTCCACGATTTACCGCATTGAGGGCTGGCGGACACTGTGGAAGGGTGTCTCGAGTGTGATTGTCGGCGCCGGTGGGTTATTTGCGATAGCAACAAGGATCGGAAACTCCGACAGGTGACTAACTGGTGTCTTTCTTCCGACAGGTCCCGCTCACGCCGTGTACTTTGGAACATATGAGATGGTGAAGGAAATGGCGGGTGGTAATGTCGACGACGGCCACCACCCGGTCGCGGCAGGTGAGTTACAAGTTCCGCAGATGGGAAGCGACACGGGCGCGATGACTGACTGACCATAAACTACTAGCTCTGAGCGGTGCTTCTGCGACCATCGCGAGCGATGCTTTGATGAATCCCTTTGACGGTGAGTTTTTGTGCGACTACTCGACTTCGCAAAACAGCCTCTGACTCCGCGCAGTGATCAAGCAACGTATGCAGGTGCATGGTTCGGTACATAAGAGTCTCCTTCAATGTGCTCGGTCCGTCTACCGCACGGAAGGTTTCCAGGCATTCTACGTCTCCTATCCTACTACTCTCTGCATGACTGTCCCCTTCACCGCCACTCAGTTTGTCGCGTACGAGTCCATTTCCAAGGTCATGAACCCTTCGCAGGATTACGACCCGTTTACGCACTGTATGGCCGGTGGTCTGGCGGGTGCGTTTGCGGCTGGTCTGACCACCCCGCTCGACGTGGTGAAGACGCTGCTGCAAACTCGGGGTTTGGCGCAAAATGAGGAAATCCGCTCGGCCAAGGGTCTGTTCAACGCGGCGGCCATCATCAAGCGGCAGTTTGGCTGGAAGGGCTTCCTGCGTGGCGCTCGCCCCCGCATTATTTCCACCATGCCCAGTACCGCTATTTGCTGGTGAGATTGGTCCGGCACCCACTCTTGGAGAAACATTTCGCTGATCGTATTTATCTAGGACCTCCTACGAGATGGCCAAGGCCTACTTCAAGGGCCAGCCGGACAACTAAGCCCACTTTGTCATTTATCCTCAACGGCCCGATTGCTTGAATCCGACACACTTCCGCTTCCCAAACCACTTCTTCGCTTCCCTTCCTCTGCACCTGATCCCCGGGGGGGGAGAAACACGCAACAACCCCCGCTCACCTCTACATCGCTTTCCCCACCAAAAAACATTTAAGGATAGAAATAATAAAATCACGACTCAGAAAATAGCCCACAATGCTTCAATTCGATGGAGAGGAAAAAGAACGATCCTATTATCCCATGCATCACATGCCGAGGAGGAAGGTAGACAATGCAGAAGACAGGGTTCCCAGGTGACACTATCTGGGCGCTGATCTAGGGGCTTTGTCCTCTTCTGATGCTTGTCCCGCTCCTGGTTCTCTGACTTGCTACACACTCACTCACCCCGTCATTTCGAGTGTCAGATTCATCATCATCATCACCACCACCACCACCACCACCACCACCACCACGATACCCCCAACATTTCATATATCACCAAGTCCGAAGCCCAGACGGGGTGACTCCGAAAGTCTGACCTGTCTATCTCCGAGCTGAGCTGGAACCATGCTTATATTACTCTTCTGACGTGTTATTTTTCAATTTTCTTGATCTGGATGGGGCTTTCTGATTGACTGGCTGGATGAGTTAGATGGATGGCGAAAAGTGGACCATCGGGGGTGTGGGTTGGCGGTTGCGCAGCTGCTATAATTACTGCTGCTTCTTGGTTGGTTCGAGGCCTTTTGATTACACTGGGCCTGATTGATGTATGCTTAATTGGTAGGCGTTGACGGGGACGCAGGGGGAAATATCTGGACGATTTTCCTTTTCTTTTTTTTTTTTTTTTTCCCTTTATACTTATGGTCTGTCAGGTTGGACTACTACAGCTTCTTCCTCTCCGCACTGCATTTTTAGTCCTAGTCATTGCTGCGCCGCTCGGGATACACTGCGATTGATTCATTGTGAATAAATTTCTGTATGTACGTTATATAGAGGGAACTGCAGGAACTGCCGGAAGAGGCTGATTGGTTTCTTTGATTGGTTTTGAAATGGATGGAATGATCAAAAATATAAGACTCTTTCTTTTTTTTTTTTTTTTTTTCCCCTTTCCCCATAACCATGTCAATCAATAATTTGGAGAGGAGGCGAAGAGGCACAGGCTGCAGAGAGAAGGAGGGGAAAAGAAAGCGTCCAGGGAACGACGTCACTGGGAAAAATCGGAAAAAGAACATCCCCAGACCGAACCCGGCCAAACCCCCCCCTCTTCCTACTTGCTACGACGACCGACTTCCAACTTCTCTCTCTTTTTCTCTATTCCTTATTCCTCAATTCTCCTTCACCCCGACTGACGGACTCTTCTCCACCCACTCAATTGGTTGATCTGAACACACTTTTCCCCTGCCACTCGTTTCTCATCCGTCGATCTCCCTTTCATCCCTCCTTCTCCCTCTACCTACACTACAACTAAATTGCGGGCGGGTCCTGCAAGATTCCCGCTCCATCTCCTCCCCCTCCTCCCCCTCCTTCAACTTCGAATGAATGATGCGCCCCAAGCCGGCGTCTTCATTGCAGAAGACCTACGATGATTGCTATTTGATGTGCTCTACTGCCGTCTATTTCGAGGGTCAGGTCTGTACTTTTTTCCCCAGCATTCTACCCCCCATACTCCAAGCTAAACTATTCCGATTGTGGCAGAATAATGAGGAGGAAGCCTTAAGATCTTGGCGCTCCGCCCTGGAAACGATCTACTATCACAACGCTTATCGAGTCCCCGCCAAGTATACCCCCAAGAACGAAACCGAACGGGCTCTGCAGGACTCCATCCGTCAGTTGGAGCTGCAATGCCGCGAGCGCGTCGATCTCCTCCAGGCCCTTCGCGAAAGTAGAAAGGATTCATCGGGCAAATCGCCGCCGCGCGCCACCCCCGGTTGGATCGGCGACGGGACCGTCCCCGCCGTTGGATACACCGATCTCTCCAAACCGCCCACCATCCCGGGTCGTCCGACTCCCACCACCACCGTCAGTTCGGAGTCAATCCGGCGGGAATCAGCCAGTGCCGCCACGTCTCCCCCCATGCCGGGAACCCCCGCCCTGCGCACCCAGTCGCATTCCCCGAGCAAGGCCGATTCGCGCACCTCGAGCCCCGAGCGGCGGAAGCTGACCATGCCTTTTACCCTGCGCAGTTCGGAGATCAAGAAACAGAGCAAGAAGAAGGACAGCTCTCGCCGGAGGGATCTGCGGCCGGCCGCAGCCTCTCAGGCTGCAGGGCTGGCCTGGGGTAGTATCTACCCGTCCTTCACGCCGCCAGACCGAACGGCCAGTGATGCGGCATTGGCCTCAACCCGGGCCTCCAACGACTCGAGCATCCGAAAAGAGTCCGAATCCCGTCGTCCGCTCTCCGGCGACGAGCGTGTTCCAAGGAGAGCAACACATCCGGCGGATGATCCCGACGAACGTCGACATGGCCGGAAACCTCGTGCCTCAGACCAGTCGGTATCGCATCGGCCCTCTGCACGGAGAACGGCAACCTCCTCCTCCACTACCACCCCTACCACATCGACGCACCGCAAACCGGTCGGCGAAGTTCGACATCAGTCCTCCAATCAGTCGCTCCCCGCGTCGGTTGAATCCCAGTCAAGGAATGCCGGTCGGCCGCAGCCTCCGCCGAAGCCTTCTATCAAACCGAAACCAGTCTCCCTACGGTCACCCCATCCCACTTCTTCCCCGTCAGGAGTGTCACCACACCCGCCGGAAGGTTCGGGCGCGCCGCGAACCAAGCCGGCATCTCGTCCACGGATTACTCCCACCTCGTCGACCGATGGCAGGCTGGTTCCTGGGTTGGACCGACTGGCGCTTTCACCCAGCAGCGCGAGAATCGCTGCTCAATCGCCAGGAGGCGTGAATCGCACTGTGACGCCTCCTTCCAGCGACCCCGAATCATCTGGTCCCAAGTCTACAGATCCGGACGAGGAAGACCTCGAGGAAGAAGACGAAGAGGATGCCATCATGAATGTGATGAACAAGCTCCCCAGGGGCATCGATGCGGCGGCTGCGCGCCAAATACTGAACGACATCGTTGTCCGCGGCGACGAAGTTCACTGGGACGATATCGCCGGTCTGGACGGAGCCAAGAAGGCCCTCAAAGAAGCCGTGGTCTACCCTTTTCTCCGGCCCGATCTGTTCTCGGGTCTGCGCGAGCCGGCGCGCGGCATGCTCCTCTTCGGACCGCCCGGCACGGGCAAGACGATGCTTGCCCGCGCGGTGGCCACCGAATCCCGATCGACCTTCTTCTCCGTCTCGGCCTCCACGCTCACCTCCAAGTGGCACGGCGAGAGTGAGAAGCTCGTGCGCGCGCTGTTCGGCCTGGCCAAAGCCCTGGCCCCGTCCATCATCTTTGTCGACGAGATCGACTCCCTGCTCTCCGCGCGCTCCTCAGGCACCGAGAATGAAGCCTCCCGCCGCTCCAAGACCGAATTCCTGATCCAATGGTCCGACCTCCAACGCGCCGCCGCCGGCCGCGAACAGAAGGACAAGAAGATCGGCGACGCCAGCCGCGTGCTCGTCCTCGCCGCCACGAACATGCCCTGGGACATCGACGAGGCGGCCCGTCGCCGCTTCGTGCGGCGACAATACATCCCACTCCCCGAACAGCACGTCCGCGAACAGCAACTCCGCAAACTGCTCAGCCACCAGAACCACGAGTTGACGGATGAGGACATCGAGGTATTAGTCCAGGTCACGGAGGGTGAGTCTCGCCCAATTCCTTCTCCTTGTCTTTGGGGCGTATGTGTTTAATTGACCAATCTCTCCTCCAGGCTTCTCCGGCTCCGACATGACCGCCCTGGCCAAAGACGCCGCCATGGGCCCGCTCCGCAACCTCGGCGAGGCATTACTGCACACCCCGATGGACCAGATTCGACCGATCCGGTTCCAGGACTTCGAGGCGAGCTTGCTCTCCATCCGGCCGAGTGTCAGTAAGGACGGGTTACAGGAGTATGAGGAGTGGGCGAGACAGTTCGGTGAACGGGGAGGATAGAGCAGAGGGGTTCGGCATCTTTGACTTTTTTTTCTTCTATACTTCTTCCCTATTCCTTGATCTCATTGTCGTGGCATTTGGTTGGTCTGGGTGCTTGGAGGGGAGTCAGTCTTTTGATCTGTATACGGGATGTACACTTGGTACGGGGTATGGGGTATGCGATGGACGGCTAGGCTAGGGTTGGGACTACGGAGTATTTTTTTTTTTGTGTTTGTTTTTTCTTTCTTTCGGACCGGACAACTCGAGTACAGGCGTTTCTGTGGGGAGGGTCGGCTAGCCAGGCTTTGGGAGAAAATGGTCGGGGATTTGGGTTGGGTTTGTTTCAAGATGGACGGCCGGACAAAGGCTCTTTTGGGGTGTTTATTCGAGGTCACTGTCGGGAGGATGATTTCCTGTAGTATGTAGGTGTAACTGTACGGAACAAAGTTTCAATGGGGATGGCGATAGCGATAGCGATAGCGATAGGTATAGGTGTCAATCAGGGCTCTTAGGCACAGGGTTACAGATTCGGCTATGATATCTCCAACAACCCGATTTAAGATTCCATTATGATCTACGATGACCAGGTAGACACTCATGTTATAAGTATGTGAGCAAGGGGCAGGGTGGCTCTGAACGCAGCGCCGAAGCTTTCAAAACCCATGGGGAAAAGAAGTAATAAAATACCACACACACACACACACACACACACAAGCTGGCAGAAAACATGGACAAGTCATCAGTTACTTGAGTAAACAGTATCGATTACTATTAATCTTATCCAATATAGTCCGGGCTAAAGAGAGTCAGGGCATAATGTCTATACTGTTGAGAGGCAGTGGAAACTCCCTCCCCCCGCCCGGTTGAACTGCGATGAAGGCCTGCTTGTGCAAAGGCGCGGCCCAGCGCATAGGGTGCCGGTTGTGCTCATGCAAGGAAAAGTTAGGATGTCGGCTTGACTCGACGAGAGGCGCGCTAAGCGTTCGATTCAGCAGCGAGAAGGGGACCTTGATGGTCAGGTTGGCGTTGTTGCGCGAGTCCTCCTTGCTGAAAAATCATCCCCGAGGTAATGCTGGGGACCGTGATGATCTGGCTATATATCGATGGTCCGTGGGGTCCCAGAAGTGTAAAGCCCATCGTCGGGTTGATTGATATACGACCGGAAGCTCGGCAGCGATCGCTTCACAGGTGCTTTAGGGCAGGTAGAGAGGTAAAAGGTCCGCGGGGACTCATGGTAACAGTGATGCCGGGGCCAATTGATGCGTTCCCCTTGGCCAGAAAGAAGTCCATGCTTGGATGAATAGTTCCAAGGGGAGCCCCCTCCTCACGATCCCAACTTCGATGTTCAACCAGGCCGATGGGAAAGGAACCACTGGAGAACGGAGACCTCGCCCAGAACGCGACCCTCACTTCCTCTCTCTCTCTCTCAAAACATAATTAAAATGTGCTGACTGCTAGGTGGTACTTTCCAGTCCAGTTCACACGATCGCTTGCCAATGTTCAGTGGACATCCAATCCACAGAGTCTCTACAGGCCGTTTAAGTAGGGAGGTATGCTCAAACAACAGAGCACGTACCTGTCGACGCTTGGCAAAGTCCCGATAAAAGCCTAACCAGAGCTCACGAGCGCGACAATCTGGCCTCCCCGTCCGGGTATCGTTGGTGCAGGCCGGTTGTTCTTGGTCCAGGACCGTATCCGGGGTCTTCAGCCAAGGCTTTAGTGGGATCGATATAGATGTCAGTCCAGTACCTAACCAAGTAACCGGTTGGAGAGATAGATAGATCCATCTGGTGCAAAAGACTTGCCTTGGAGACCGGCCAATCCGAGAAATGCAGGAACTTGGCCTCGGACAAGACCAAGTCAGGGTTCCAGCGGGTGTGCGGGGCGCCGCCGAGATAGTTCGTGTGCAGGTGGGCACGAAAGTCGCCGGTCAGGGGTTTGGGGGGGGGGGGGGGTTTTTTTTGTTTTTTTTTAAAAAAAAAAAAAAAAAAAAACAGCAAAAGTAAGGCAAGGCGAGCGAGAACACATACCTGCAAGATCGTCCCATCGGAGTCTAGACTCAGCACACGCGCGTACTGGGTTTGATTGAAAGCCAGAAACTTAGTATAGCTCTCTGCCCATGTGACTAGATTGAGAATCAGCCTCAAAGCCTCTCTTTTTTCGTCACGGTACCAGTCAATAGTATTGCGTACCATCACTACTGCTCCGACTCTGCACGTCAATCGAAACCAGCCGCACGCGGTACTGCGCCTGCATCTTGCGCAGCAAGCCACCTTCAATGGAGTCCCTCTCGGGATCGAGGTGCGAAGGATACATCAAGACGCGATCTGGCTGGCTCTGCAACTGGTGAAGTCGTTCGAACATCATCACCGAGTTGCACAGATAGGCGGTGTTGGTGGCATATTGCACGTAGGCAAACCGTGACCAGTCAATATGTCTCAGAGACTGGACCGGCAAGGGCGAGTCACTGCGACAAAATGCCCGAGAACTGCTGATCGGCAGCCTCCAGAGAAGGAAAACGACGAGGATCGCGCAGAAGAGTAGACAAAGAAACCGGGACGAAATTAACATTGCGGGAGAAAATCGGTATATAGCTGCTGCCTTGCGAAGAAAGCCGCTCACCCAGACATCTGCTGAATCTTGAGAGAGAATTGTACACGGGATACCTTGAGAATGAGCGCACCCAGGCACCTATAGAGGCATTTATATCCAACTGAATCTCATTGTTCTACTGTACCCTCGTTCATGATGAGCCTTTACTTGGGGGCTTCTAGGGCTTCTCGGGCCTCTAGGGCCAAGATCATGTCCCATGGTACGTACGAATTACACAGCGATCATTGCTGGAATCCTTCTGTGTCCTATACCAACAGGTCAGGTACACTTCGACAGACATGGTAATTGCTTATTTGGTCAGCTATAGCAAGCAATACCTGCCTTGGGGGGGGGTTACTGGTCCCGAGTTGATTTCCGCTAGAGTAGCCCAGGCTTCAGGCTCAACGCTATACTGTCCGTCCAGTAGGTACATGTCACATGTCGGCCCTTATAATAATCCTACCACATAGGTCTAAGGAGCCAGCCACCTGCAGGTGGAGAGAGAACCTTTCAAACTAGTCTTGAACAGGTAGTATAGGCAACTGCAGTGCCCAGGATAAGTACGAGTAAGTCAGTCAGTCAGTCAGTCAGTCAGAGAGTACGACATTCCGACATTAGATATCTAAACTCCGTTCTCTTTTGCGGTCCCCCTTGAAAATCTATAAATCTTAGTAGAGTAGTACCGTACCCTTCTCGATTCCGGCCTCCTTCAATTTTTATCGCCAATGATTGAGTTAGAGACATAGCGTGGTTCAGAGACTGTACTGGACTGTACTGTACTTGGAATGATATCTTTAGACCCTTTGTTGCTTCATCCGGAGGTTATGTGGCAGCCACCGGTCTTTGTTCTGATCTGGCATGCCAAGAACAAAGAGCGTCACCGTAATAACATGTTCCCAAATAAAATCAAAATGAACAAGTGAGTCAGGGACATGTCGTATAACAAAGTTGGAAGTAGAACAAGCCACTCTACCAAAGGGCTGGAGATGTAAATCTCTCTAGATCAAATTAGTCCATGTGGTTTGAATTCAGTTGTGGTGTATAAGCGTATGAGAAGCACTAGTCTAATTACTTGATACTTTTTTAAACAAAAAGGGAAGAGATCCTTTCAAAGCTTGTTGTCAAGGTGCTAAGTCCAAAAACGAAGTCAAGGGTCTATGCTAGCAGGGATTCGTACAAGCGAGGCAACTTTCATGAGTAAGGCTATTCCTGCAAGCAAACGAGAGAGGTAGTCCGTCCAAGCGAGGGGGTTCATACTTGCGAGGATCTTTACAAGCGTTGCAGTTGGTGTGAGTTGGATAAGCAGGCCTTGCCGCAGTAGTCGTGTGAGCAGAGATGTGAGCAGGGAATCGAGCGACGAGGCGTGCGAGGTACTCGACCCCTACTAAAATTCACCAGAAACAATAAGTGTGGATTGTAAAAGCTTGACACCAACCAAAAGCACAATAACAATAGACAAGAAACCTTGGTATCCGAATTCGATGACTCTTGATATCAACTATAAAGGGGGAAAAGTAAAAAAAAAAAAACTAGTGAAGGCAAATAATAACAAACATAAGAAAGCCCGGGGGACAACGGGCTTTAGATATCAAAATCAGGATTAGTTCCAGCCCCCCACTCCCCGTCAATACACCAATTCACCCTTCGGTCCTACAGATCGATCAAACTGCCACCCTGCTGAGGCTGCTGATGATACGTCTGCTGTCCTCCCCAAGGGTTGTTGACCGGCTGCGCAAACCCCGTCTGCTGTGGAACGAACTGCTGCTGCGGCTGGTTGAAGAAAGGATTGTTGCCCGTCCGCGTGGCCCGGAGCTTGTCCAGTCCCTGTCCGGCCGAGTTGACAAATGTACCCGGGGCCGTATGCTGGGCGGGTATACGCAAATCTCCCACATTTCCGAAAGTGTCTTGTCCCTCTCCAGAAGCCAAGAGTGCGTTCAACTGTGCGCGATGCGGATCCAGCATCTGAGTGGGCGCGGTCTTCTGCGGCGTGAAAGACTGCTGGGGCGGAGCAAGTGACTGTGGCTGTGTCTGGTAGTTCGCGATCGGATTGGGCGATGTGAATTGGTTCGTGACCCTCTCTTCCGCCAAAGTATTCAGTGATGAAGGTCCAGTAGTAGCGGGGCGGCTCTGAAACTGCTGAGTACGTGGTGCAAATGGATTGTTCGATCCCGTAGGCATCGGTTTCAGAGCATCCGCTGGCTGTGGGCTAGCCCATGGGTTGTTCGTACCCGCCGACAAGAAGTTATCCTGAGGTTGTTGGAACTGCTGCTGTTGCGGCTGTTGCTGCTGTTGCTGCTGGGAAAATGCATCACCTCCCCAGGGGTTGTGGACGTTGAATGCTGTGTGTTGTGGCTGTACAGTGGCCTGCGGCTGCAAATAGTTGTTCTGCGCCTGGCCGTAGGGGTTCTGGTCAAATGAGGTTGGCTGCGCCTGGAATCCGTTGCCATACCCATTGGGCATGCCGGTCATCTGACTTTGGAAACCAGTAGGCTGGGCATATTGGTTGTTCAAATAACCAGTTGTCAGCGGCTGTTGCGGGTTGATCGGGTTGCCGAACCAGTCGACCGCGCTCTGCTGCTGGTAACCCTGGTTGTATCCGGTAGGTTGCGGCTGGGCGACTTGTGTAGGGGCATCGTCGAACAGCGAATGGGCGTTGCTCTCCTCCAGCTCCCGCTTGCGCAACTCCTCCTCTTCCTTGCTCAGCTTGATTGCCTTGGCCAGATCCTCGTCGTCGTCGGCCGCGGCTGCGTCCCTAGCGCGGCGCTTGCGCTCCTCCTCGGCTTCATACTTGCTCGCCTCGATTGCCAAGCGGTATTCGGCGTCGTCGTCGTCATTCGTGGTGCGACGACGCTCGCGGCGCTCGCGACGGGGCTCTGGAGCGTAGCCCCCTTGGTGGTCATCCAGACCGCTCACCCGGGACTTCCAGAGCTTGCGATCGGAGCGCTCGCTGCGCAAGCGGTCTTCGTCCAGAACGAGCGAGGTGAGTTCCTTGGCGGCCACACGGACTGTAAATCGAACGATTAGCCAGATATGACGTAGATTACCCCAGCCACCCCATATTAACTTACCGTTTTGTCCGACATCGCGTCCGTCCTCATCAACGTACTGAAATTCGCGCAAAGTCTTGATGATGTAGACATTCTTACGGGCCCATGTTACTACCAATTCGGAGCCTTCGTGCAGGCAGTAATCCAAGACTTTCAATGACTTGAGAACGTGGCGCCAATTTTTGCCTTTGTCGTTTAAACGCTTATCCAACATGTCCATGATCTCGTAGAAATCGGTGGGGCTATATGGTTGCACGAGGGGGTCAGTTTGAGTCGCGGGACCCTGCAGGTCACGGAGGACGCGGGGTAGCCTACCTGCTGAAGGTCAAGGCGGCGATTTCGGCCATCTCGGTGCCCGTTGGCCCCCAAGGATCATTACTCGTAGCTGTAAAGGCAAGAAGAAATGAAATATTAGCGTCAATCGACTATACACTCGGCCAATGGAGAAAATGCTGGAATGGAGGTGACCATGGATTGACTGGAAGTTATGACGATAAGGAGGGTGTATCGTAGGCTACAGCCGATCGGAGGCAAGATAAGCGGGCAGCAACAGTCCAACGTACCATTTCGAACCTTGACCTGCACGGAGGAATAACCCTTGGTGACGTTTTTCACACTGCGCACGACTTTGGACATGGTGGCGGTATTGAGTGTGTTGATGGGAGAAGTGAGAATAGACTAGGCGGCCCTTTCCGCCTTTGGCTTGCGTAAGAGGGGGAGATAGTGAGGGAGGAGGTTGTGAGCGAGGCGAACAAGGCGATCGCGCAGGAATAGGTGTCAATGGAGCTGAGGAGGATGGAGCAACTGCGATGGGGAGTAGAACCAGTCCGACTCCTTATCGCGCTTAGAACGGTGGGAGAGGCGTATGTAAGCCGCGTTCGGAATTGTCAGTGACCGAGAGACAGTCGGAACTTTAGAGCGTTCTGGCACTCGGCGGGGAAAGACTGCTGCGATTCAGGATGATTCGAAGAACAGGAGATGGCGACTGCAGATAGCAGTGGAAGGTCGGAAATAGGACAATGGAGTTGAAAGAGAAGAAGAAGAGGTGTGAGGGAAAGGGAGGAGTGGGGAGGAGGAGAAGAAGAAGAGAGGAAGAGAAGAGAAGAGGAAGTGTCTGGAGAGAGAGAGCAAGAGAGAGATCGGGCGGACTAAAAGGTTGGGTGCCACCGGAAGACCGTTCAATAAATTCCAGCCAATTTCTCACAACCACACCTCTAAGCCGTCCTGGAATAGCGGGGATTTCCGTTCTTACTGAGCTCGGATGCAACGCGCTCGTGTTAAATGCAAAGAAATTCTCTTTCGAGGGTGTAGCTGCGTCAGGTTGTCGAATCTGCCTTCTCGGGCGTTCCTTCACTCCCCTCGGGCAGCGGCCAGTCGAATAGGGGCACTGCGACAACGTACAAGGACGAAGAAGGAATTCGGACGGTACAAACACGGTTTACTCAAAGCCAACCGAAAGGAGAATGAACGGTCAAATGCTGCGGAGACCAGAAGAGCTAAGAAGAAGGAGCAGGGAGAGAGAAGGAGGGAGATTTCATTGAACTTGATATAGTGATGGATGAGATGATCAGGAGAAGAAACCCGAGTGATGATGGTGTCAATCCTTCCTCTTCCTCTGCTCTCCGTCTCTATGCACTCTGTTCCTTCTATTGAATTTATGCAATTCAAGACCGCAGTTCTATCTTTACCCGCTGGCATCTATAAAGTGGCTCCATGGTATTTAACATGACAGTGTTCACTTCAACTACCACTTGACGTCAATTGACCATTCCCCTATCTGTATACACACTATACAACACACATTCGCCCAACTTCCTTCCCAGTCGAAAAAAAAAACCGAGGCTAGAGATTCAAAAGCCTTTCCAAGCCATCCGACTCGTTCTTCTCCAGGTCTCTCCCACCCATAACCAACTCTAAATACTGAATATGCTC